GCTACACAGGGAGACCTTGTCTCCAAAAAAAAAAAGGCACAAATAACCAGGCATGGTGGCACACATTTGTCATCCCAGCACCTGGGAGGCTGAGGCAGGAGAACCCACAGGTTAGAGACCAGCCTGGGCTACATAGCAAGACTGTCTCAAAAATCAAAAAGAAAGGCACAGAAAATCAGAATTAATTTAGCAAGATGAGACGGGAAGAGTTAAAGCCCAGAAGGAAAAGTTTCCAGGGGTGGGCTCCCCCACTCTGCCTGGCCTGGAGCACCCACTGGAGCTGCTCAATGCCTGGTCTGCTCTCGGGTTGGGCAGAAGATGAGGTCATCCAAATATAAAGTAGTAAATCCGAGCACACATCAGAGCCCGAGAGGCCTACGTGGGGACCCTGAGTCCCCATCTCTGCCCCTCTGCTGCTGCACATCCGATGTGAGCCCTGGGGAGGCCAGGGGGGACCCACACTCTTTGTGCTGTTTTGTTCAACTTCCTGTGTATCTCTAATAATTTTTCCCAAAAGAAAGAAATTTTTAAACCTAGGTTTATTTCTTTTTAAATATATTTTATGTCCCTAAAGGCTATTTCTTCACTTTATGATTTTGTTCCATTCTTTTGGCTTTGGTTTTCAGGTTTTTGTTTTGTTTTTGTGTTTGTTTATGTGTTCCTTTGTTTTTTTGAGACAGGTCTCACTTTGCAGCCCAGGCTGGCCTTGAGCTCTCAGCAATCCTCCTGCCTCAGCCTCCCAAGTGCTGGGATGACAGACACACATCACCTCGCCTGGCTTCAGCTGTAAAATTGGAGTTAACTGCTCAGGCTCACCCGTCTAGAAGACAGGATTTAAACCCTGACATCTGTGACTTAGGGGTGAATTCATACTTTTATCAACACACTACTGCCACATGGACTCATGTGGCAATACAGTGCAGCTGAGTCCATAGGAGATTGTGACAAGCAAGCTCATGGGCGTGGCATTAAGAGGTCAAGCCAGGAAGCCTGAACAGCAGGTGACTAGTCTTAATGTCAAGAAGTCTGAGAAAACATTGTGAAGTCTTCATTCACCCCTTAGAGATGGAAATGATTAAACATAAGCAACATAACAGAACATCTTGGTAGAGGAAGCCTGAAGACATGGACTGGCTGTGTCTCCAGAGTCCTCCTCCACCCTGGGGCCTTTAATTTTCACATTAAGAAACACAGTTTGGACAGGTGTGGTGGTACACACCTGTGAGCCCAGCACTCAGGAAGCTGAGTCAGGAGGATTGCTGATCATTCAAGGCCTGACTGGGGCTACATGGTAAGTTCAAGTCCAGCCTCAATTGCATAGTGAGACCCTGTCCCTCCTGCCTCCCAAAACAAAGAGAAAAGGAAAAGAAACATGTTAAAATAAAGGAGCCCTTCGGCTCTAGTACAGTAGCGTACACTGCCAGCTGAAGTCCAGCCCCGCTCGTCCTGTGGGTTTGGGGCAGGTGGCAGAGGCGCCCTGATTTTCTGACACTGGGAGGCTGAGGTTGGGTCTGTCTGGAAGTCTGCCCCAGTGTGAGTCCCCAGCGGAGGGAGGGACTGTGGTCTGCCAGCGGTGCTGAGTAAAAAGGAAGTCATTGCTTCCAACAGCCTTGTTTGTGCTTTTGAAAGCGGCTGAAGTCCCATTTCCCTTCCTGGAGCACACAGAGGCCACCATGCGGTGATGCAGGGGTGGATGGAGGTGGAGGAAGGAAAGAGATTTCCCTAGGGCAGGAGGGTGTTCAAAGAACCCAAATCCAAGTTCAAAATAAATTCAAGAAGCGCCAAAGCCAGATGGAGCCTGCGCCAGGATGGCCCGACTCGGAAGTAGAAACCCTCACTCACTTCTGCAGACGCTGGCTTTAAAAGCATCGGATGTGAGCGGAGCTGTGTGCACCAAATTCCAGCTGAGAGACAGGCTGAAGATGAACCTGGGGCGCACAGATCAAGGCGGTTTAATCCGGTTGTCCCGGTACCCAATCTACTCCCCAGGCCTCTGGGGAACGTGGGTGTTTGGCCAGAAAAACGCTTTTGTTTCTGATTCTTTCAAGGACCGATTCCGAACCCCTCTGCCTCCAAGACAGCACTAAATCCCTGATTTTTTTTTTTTTAATGTGGCTGTCACCAAGGTCTAGGGTGCTGTTGCCCCAAACAATTAGATGAGAAATGGGCAATAGGTAGTGGGTTTTACACGTATTTAAAAAGGTGTTTAAGTAGTTGGGTGTTCTGATGCATGCCTGTAACCCCAGCACTCAGAAGGCTGAAGCAGGAGGATCGCTGTAAGTTTGAGGCCAGCCTGGGCTACACAGTGACCCCTGTCTTAAAATAAATAAATTTAAACAAGAAAAAGGTATTAAAGGTAGGATGCAGTGTCGGGCGTGGTGGCTCACGCCTGTAATCCCAGAACTTGGGAGGCTGAGGTGGGAGGATCCTTGAGAGTTCGAGACCAGCCTGGGCTACAAAGTGAGCTCAAGGCCAGCCTGAACTGCATAGCGAGGCTCCGTCTCAAAAAAGGCAAAAAAAAAAAAAAAAAAAAAGGTAGGATGCAGAATGCGCCACTGAAAGCGCTTACAGTGACCAGAAGACTAAGGGAAACCTCTTTGTATGAAACCATTCTGATGTCAAATCGAGGCCATCCTATCAAAAGCCTGCTTGATTTCACACCAGGGGAACTGAAGAAAGCGTCTTCTGATTGGTCCCAGATGCAAGGGTTGGGCCTATGTGTCCCGGATCTCTGTGATTGACAGGTCATACGCACTGACTCTGTCACCGGCCACACCCTGATACCCCGACTCAAGGCGTCTATACTAAGAGGGAAACAGCTCTTTTATATATGTCTACCAAGTGACCATAATTAAATCTAGCAGTAGTAGTTTTACCCACAGAAAGCTTTTGATGATGACCAATATAAACATATTACAACAAAAAACATATTACAACAAAAAACTTAGGCCAATATAATAGTTTTACTTTTAAAAAAATGCAACGATAGGGTATATGTTTGGCCATATTTAGTACTTTACTCAAAAATACACTTCTAATGTCACAAAAACGTATATGCGTAACTGCATACTGGACGGTATCTCTTTTGTGTAAGAAAGGAAAATGTGAAAAATATATCTGCTTATTTTTGTAAGGAAAAAATACAAGAATGATAAAGAAACGGTATTAGTCATCTGCACAGGATAGGTGGGTAAAGGTTATAAAGGGGAGTGTGGATGCCTTCAAATAGCCTTTTATCTGGTCTTTGCTTTTGGAACCATGCTGTTTTATATAGTAAAGAAAACAAAGACTTTGACTAAGCCGCCTGGGAAAACCACTAAGAGAATAAAAACAGAAACAAGTTGGAAATCTTGTGTTTTGTTTTGTTTGTTTTGAAACAGTCTGGATATGCAGTTCAGGCTGGCCTTGAGCTCACTTTGCAACCCAGGCTAGTCTCCATCCAACTCACAATGATCTTCCTGCCTCGGCCTCCCAAGTGCTGAGATTACAGGTGTGTGCCACCATACCCAACTGGCGTCATATTTCACAGGATCAGTGTAACTGCAGTGAAGGGGGGATGTTTGGAAGTCATTTGGGGTCACAGGATTGTGGCTCTGAATTCCTAGTTCAAGGACAGGCGAGGAAACATTTCTCGATCTCCAGCAGGTGAATTTCTCTCTCTCTATGACCTCGCTTAGCAATCCCTCCCATGTGCATTGTAGGATTAAGCAAATACATTGATGATACTGAGAACCAAGATAAAATTATAAAACAGGAGCTGGGTAGAAAAAAACCATGCCGTACTGCATGGCAACTGAACCCACCAGGTTTTTGGTTTTTTTTTTTTTTTAAATCTATGTAGCTAAAAATATAGACAGGGAGGCCCAGGATCCACCTTGCTGGCTGCAGTGTCCACCTGTGACCACACCCAGAGGGTGTGAGGCCACCAGGATCCTCAGAACCGGACAGGGATGCCTGGGAGACAAGGCGCATTCCAGTCAGTGCACAGAACAGGTAAGATGAGCCCAGAAGTACTTCTTTAATACCAGGAAATACAAAAAAGAAAGTCGAGGCCATCTCTAAAGAACACAAAGTCCACTCAGAGAAGCCCCTAAAGGCTGAACCTGGGCTAATCTGAGTATGAAGTAAATCAGGAGGATGGGGTATTTTAACCTATCAGATACAAAAGGATCCATGAGTCCATGCAGGTAATAAGAGGAGGAAATGTCTCCTTGCAGTTGAAGGCTGATACATGAAAAATAATGGGAGCTTTTAAAAATCATGCCTTTGTAATTGCCACAGTAAAAACTGAATCAGAGGATTATAACCTGATGCTAAAGTTAATGAATGAAAATGTAATAAAAATTAGAGTAGGTATAGGGTCTCATGTGTCTATCCATAAATAACTTATAAATTAGAAAGGCAACAATAGCCCCCTTACAGAGAAGCCTAGGAACACAAGCATGACCAATTTGGCATCCGTGATAAGAGCATACGTGATTATCTTCCACTTTCAAATACAAAGGATGGAAGAGACATGTCACGAATGCTGCATCTGCCCCAAATGTGTAGCACGAACTTAATCATGAGGGTAAGAGACCCAGACACTCATGACAAAGCACAGAATAAGAGACCATCGGCTGCTTCTTTCACTGTAGACTATTTAAATGAAGTCCGTGTTTCCCAGCTTGGGTCCTTTGCTGCATTTTGGGGAAGGTACATCTGCTGGGGTAGTTTTCACAGGTAAAACTATGAACAAAAGTTACATGCATTTTTTAAATGTAGGGGTTTTATGACAAGACCGATGCTGAACGGACTCAGTTTCCAAGTGTGATGTTTCTCTTGTTCTTGCTTTGGTTTAGATAATGGTGAGCAGAAAGCTCCAGCAGAAGAGGAGAAAAGAAGTAATAAATATACAGGAAAGGTATAGTGTGGTACAAACCTTGCAAAAACAGTTAACTTCATGTTAACTGTTCTAAAAGTGAAGGCGGGAGCTGGGTAACTGAATCTGTGCACCAGGATTTTTAGGAAAGCCAAGAAAAATAGAAACTTTATTTCATGATTTCCCAACAGAAAACATCTACATTTCACCAACACTGCTTTACCCCTGAAGTTAAATATTAGTTTCAAACGTGGGTAAATATGTCTTTAGCTGCAAAATTTTAGAGACGGGCTGCGCTGTCTCCTGATAAAAGTCGAGCCCCGTGAGCAGCTCCACGTCTCGGACCCGGGCGATGTGTGCTTTAAACCTTTCTTCAACCCAGACAGCTTCAGTTTTATTTTCCTGAAAACGAAAAAGAAATACAAGGCTGTTTTTCCACAGGGCATAATTTTGCATTAACCAGAAAGATGTTTTATTACTAAAAAGATGTTTTTTATTGCCTTAAAAGCCTAAGTTGACATAAATTTAGTTATTTAATAAAACAGAAAAAGTACAAAATAGGAGAAACACAGGCCCCCATAAAGTAACAAAGTTGAGGGTTTTTTGTTTTGTTTTTGTTTTTTAAGACAGGGTCTCACTATGTACTTTAGGCTGGTCTTAAACTCTCTATGGGGCTCAGGCTGACCCTGAACTCATGGTGATCCTCCTGCCTCAGCTTCCTCCTTTCTGGGATTCCAGGCCCCTACACACTGTGCTGTCTAAATCTAGGGGTGGTTTGCAGCATGGTCTGTGATGCTCCCGTCTTACTGGAAGAGCGCGGCTTCCCCTGGCAGGCCAGGTGGACCTTTGTGCTGTACTGGTACAGACAGGAACAGTTCAGCTGGGACATTGTCTGGGATGGATGAGCGACCCTGTCACAGAACACATGCGTGCCAGGTCGGGTGCTCCACCCCCCTCCCAGCCCCTCGGCTCTGTCCACCTGTGGGCGCGCAGGCCGATCGCCCTGTGTTATTACAGTGCCAGATGTCCTCCAAGAGTGTAGGCATTCAACTTTTAACAAGCTCTTAGCCTACAAAAAAGTTCCTCCATTTGGATCCTGGGGTTTCCAGGAAGTGCACATGGTACGGTGACCCTTCAGCCTACCCCCCACCCACGTGGCCGAACCGCCGATCACTGTCCAGCTGCCTGGACCCCAGAGGGCCCCAGGCCCCTGACCTCGTGGATCACACCCTGCTGAAAAGCTCTCCATGCCTCCCATCCTCTTGCTGCTCTCCTGGATTCTGCATTTTCTGCAGGGCCCGGCTCTACCTCCTCCTCCTGCTTTGCAACCTCTACTGACTGCTCCAGCCAAACACCAACTCCTTTGAACGGTTTTGCAATAAACCAAACTTTGCGTCAATTCTTAATGTGGTTTTGGATTTTTTTGTTGTTGTTTTTGGGGTTTTTTTTGGGGGGGGTTGTTTTTGTTTGGTTGGTTGGGATTTTTTTGCATTTTAAGACAGGGTCTCGGGTTTTTAGTTCAGGCTGCCTTTGAACTCACTATGTAGCCCTAGCTGGGCTTAAACTTGAGGCAATCTTCCTGCCTCAGCCTTCTAAGTGATGAGATTATTGGCATGTATCACCACACCTGGTTTCTCTTAATTTTTTTTATTTTTTTCTCTTAACTTTAAAAATAATTCTTGTACTATCAACTGGCCCATTCACATGCCTACATCAGTTGTATGTGAGCTTTTTTTCAGTACATGACTACACTCCCATGTACAGTTGGTACATGTATATAATATACCTTAATTCTCTTTTCATGCTCTGTGTGCTTTAATGAGTTTCTATCATGACATTGTGTGTTTAACAGTTACTCAACATATTCATTGAATAACTTCAATAAAATCCAACATCCAGTGTATTTTTTCTATGAAAAAAATATATTTAAGTTGCAGTAATCACTTACAAAAAAGTTGCCTTGGTTCGAAATGTTTTTGAGGTGGTCAAAGGTTAAGCATCTTATACCAGTTTGTCCCGAAACAGCTCATTCTGCAAGTTGTTGGAATATTTATATTTACATATTCATTCAGGAAATTCTGAACGCTAGCCTTGGGATAGAACCTTAAGCTTTGCATCCAGAATAAAAAAACGGATGGCATCACCTCTTCCCTTGATAGACATAAGACAAATATCTAAGACATGTAATCAGGTGCAGTGGTGCATACCTGTAATCCCAGTCCTCTGGAGGCTGAGGCGAGAGGGTCACCATGAATCTGAGGCTGGCCTAGACTACATGCTTCCAAAGACACGCAGACATAAGCACACATTCACGTATGCAGATTTCCATTTGATGTTAATCACACAGAGATCAGTCACCAAGGAACACCGCAAAGACCAAGTTGCTTTTACTGCAACTCCAGCCGTGCAACACTGCAGAACTCAATTCCAGACACTGCTGCTTCTGCGGAAGCCCGAGGGGCCTCTGCCTGACCCCCTGCCCCAGCCACTCACCGGACAGCTCTCCACGTTGGTGGGCCGGTGAGGGATGATGAAGGGCAGGACATCCAGGTTGTCGGGGCAGCTGGCGTGCTCAGAGCTGCGGTTCTTGCAGCTGGTCAGCACCACGAAGTAGTGCGTGGGGAGGGGCACACGGCCACCCAGGTGTCTGCGGGCAGCAGGGAGAGGGCGGGTGAGCGAGCAGCCTCAGTAGTTTTAAAGAGTGCCAGGGAGGAGTAGGAATAGAGGAAAAGAAAGTAATAGGCAGGAAATATAAAGTTTCCTCATATATCTCTTACTTTAATCAGTCAGTACAAAGATTTATTACTGTGGATGGCTAAGCTTGGTCTTTCTAACATTATGGGAAAATACTCGAATACAAACAAGACAGCGTGAAATTTTTTTCTTTTCTTTTTCTGTTTTAGACAGTCTCATCATGTAGCCCAGGCTGGCCTAGAACTCCTGGCAATCTTCCTGCCTCAGCCTCCCATGGCCAGAATTTAAGGCGCCGCCAGCATGCCTGTCTCTTGGGTTCTGCTGACGTCAAGCCTCACAGGGGAATTTTCTTACGGAGCAGAAGGGGGGCAGGAGGCCACTTGGACACACCCCCTGGCCCTTTGGGCGCCAAAACACTTTTACACTCCAGGGCTGCTGGTGGTGGGGACAGAAAGCCTTACAAGGGTGCAGTGATGCTTCAGTTCCAAACAACAAACACTAAAGCACTTAAAAAGTTTTTGGCAGCAAATATATGCAAGGCATTAGCACACATTCACTTAGAGGAACCAGGGCAGGTCCAGGTGGTGATTCACCCCTGGCCAGCAGGCCTCGGTGTCCCATCCCAGCTGGGACTAATGAAACCCGACCCATGGTGGTTCCGCAGACTACATCTGGGTTGATGCAGCCTTGGGAAAGTTACTGCGGTGAACTGGTCTGTCATTTTTTTTTCACTTACGACTGCACAGCAAAGGATGACACACTGAGCATTCCCCATCCCCTTAGACTCTGTAACGTCTCATTTCATCTTTACTCACTGGTTTAGAAATTTTCCAAAATAAAGGCTTAGAAAAGTATATGGGACCTAGTCAAGAACTATTCAAGTGTTTGCCCCAGTTATAAAATGCTGAAAGACAGAACCAGTGAACACTGAAATAAGGACAAGGTGAAATAGAGAAATGCCACACAGTTGGTAATCATGTTACTTATCAGAAGCACTAAATAGAAATCAAGGTCTCACATAACCTAGATTTAGACCATACAATTGTTGGATTTGATTCATCCTTTATTTTGATAATAAAGTAAAGGGGTAAAACTGCTCTCTAAAACTTTCTATTACTCTGTGCTACATTAAAAAATAATCCAAACCAGGTGTGGTGGCTCACGCCTGTAATCCCAGCCCTCAGGAGGCTGAGGCAGGAGGATCGTTGAGTTCGAGACCAGCTTGGACTACAAAGTGAACTCAAGACCAGCCTGAAGTGCATAGCGAGACCCTGTCGCAAAAAGACAAAATAAAAATTTAAAAATAAATAAAACTAAAAAATCCAACAATCTGAGAAGGTTTAATATTAAGATATATAGTTGAGCTGGATTTGTTTTCTACGTGAAATCTTACACTTTCTTTTGGGAGGTGTGTTTACTGCTCTCTGGCCCCGTGACATTTACTAAGATAAACTTAACCTTGACTTACTGGTTTTCATTTATGTCGGCCCAGTTCTATATGTACTGATGATACACTGAGAGTTCCCAAACTCCTTAACCTTAATAAAATCTCAGTTTTATCTTTACTCATTAGAAAATTTCCAAATAAAGGTTTTACTAAGTTTTGCCTGGAGATGTTTTGGAACATTAGTTTAAAATGTCTCTATATAACATTTTTATCTATCTAGATATTTACACAGACTACACTGGAAATAATCATAACATCTGAATATGTAATGGGGACAGAGATTTCATATTTAAAATTTAAGGATTTCCCCTTAGGGAACCCTACTGCTAAATCCAGAAGTCAGATTACTTACTCTGTAATTTCGCTTGGAGAATCAAAATGGCCATCGTAATTGTAATCAAATATTGGTCCACTGACCACATTCACTCCATTTCTCTCCGTTGCATATTTCACCAGAAGAGCACTGTGGAAGTAGTCCCACATCTCTAAAAATAAAAGAATACGGCGTCAAAGATACCCGCCTCTGGTGAACGTGGAAATATTTCTCATTACAGACAGGTACACTGAACAGCATCCAATCCTACTTCAGCTGTTATCAGTGATGACAGACAATTCTGTAAGTAGTCCGTGCAATAAAAATTAAGAGTTATCAGCTGAGTGTGGCAACACATACCTGTAATCCCAGCAATCAGGAGGCTGAGGCAGGAGGATCACTGCCAACTCCAGCCAGCCTGGGCTACTGAGTTCATGGCCAGCCTGAATTATACAGTGAGACCCTGTCTCCCAAACCCAAATTTAACTAATGAATTAACAGCCATGTTGATGATAGCTTTTTGTTGCTGTAAGTTCCATCTTCAAATTACAATTAAAAATAGGTCCAGATTCCTTCTATGGCTGAGTTGGCCAGGCAATGTGGGATGCTGGGGACACCTGGGAAACACTTGCTGCCTCATCATTCAGTCACAATGAACCCAGTGCATCTCAGATTTGTGAATAGTTTATGACAGTTAAGAGCTCAAAATCACCAAGCTTCTAGCAAAGGATCCCTCAGGTTTGAATCTGAAAGCGATCCGAGACAGGAAACATTCCAGACATACTACGGAAAACATCGGGACAGACAGACCCCAGCAACAAACAGTGGCAAAAGCCTGAAAGTCAGGGACCTGCGGGGAACTGAAGATTACTAAGTACTTACTTTTGAATTCTCTGTACATAGGGACCATGTTACTTGTAATTAAAGCGTCGTACTGGTTATCAGTTTTACTGTTTTCTGCAAGACAAATAAATGTTGTCAAATCTAGGGAAGAAAATGTATCACACTGCATCATAGGTCTGTGACCACTGTGTGCTGATGCACATTAGGAATGGTCAATGGGACTTCCAGATAGAACCCATTAACAATGCAGGCGGCCTGAAATGCTGCACCTGCCGTGGGTTGAACCAGGCACCTCCAGGGCTGTGCTCAAGCCCTCACACTGGGCTGGCAGACATGTTTGAAAGCGGAGTCTCTGCAGACCGCAGTTAAGAACCTGGATGAGTGTGTAGCGGATTTAGAGTGAGTTTGAAATGAATCACTGCCGTCCTCACAAGGAGAGGGAGACTTGAAAACCCAGAGGGACGAACATTATGTGACGAGGACCAGAAAGCTGAGAGCAACAGTACATAACCCAAGCAGCTCCTCCAGCCCCTGGAAGCTGGAAGGGGAAGGGAATGATTCTCACCAGGGCTTTCAGAGACACCCTAGCCAGGTCAACACCTTGATTTTATTTTACTTGTGATTTCCATTCCTTGTGATGAGTTTTGTTCTGTAATTCAGGCTGGCCTTGAACACACTTAAGTAGTCCAGGCTGGCCTGGAGCTCCCAGAAATCCTCCTGCCTCAGCCTCCTGAGTGCTGCAATTACAGGCATGTGCCACCAGATAGGCAACATCTGCAACTCAGAATTTCTACCTTCCAGAACTGTGAACAAACGTATTTCTGCTATTTTAAGTGACCTGTGCTAATTTATTACAGCAGCCCAAGGCCATATATGCATGGATAGGTATTGACCATGCACAAAATGTTATTTATGTAATTTCAAAACTTCCAAAACAACAGTCTTAAGAAAATGTGTTTTTACTCAAAGAAGATTGTTAATGGAACCATCACCTAGCACAGTGAGTGCTAAGCAACTCTACTATTATAATATTTTAAGAAACTTTTTATTTTGATAAAAACACTAAGCACAAACTCTACCCACTTAACTGTACTGTTGTCTCTAGGTTTGTTGTAGCTCTAATGAAATACTCAAGGCAGGGTAGTTATAAAGCAAAGAAGTTTATTTGGTTCTCAATGTCAGAGCTTGACAGTCCAAGATTCACATGGACCCAGCTATTTGGCCTCTGGTCCCAAGATACAGATAAACAAAGAGAAATGGTCTCTTGCAGAAGTGACCACAGGGACAGGCAGGCAGCCACAGACCAGGGGAGGGGTCAGGAGACTGTTTTTATAGCAGCTCACGCTGTAAAGTTCACTCACTCCCAGACACTGGCAACAGTCTCTCCCAGGGTCAGCACCCATGACCTAAAGGCCTCTTGCTAAGCCCCGCCTCTTACAGGTCATGTCACGTCTTAACATGGCTACCCTGGAAACCTGCATCTAGATGGGAATCCAGAGGGCAAACCTGGCAAGCCATGGTAAACTGCAGAGCTGTACAGAAAATCTCCAGGGCTTGCTCATCTTGCTCAACTGAAACTTTATGCCCAATGATAGTAATTTGCCTTTATCCCTCCCCTGGGCCCTGGGAATCTCCATTTCACCTCCTGATTCTAGTATTTGGACTTTTTTGGGTTGGTCAGCATTAAACAACATGGACAAACTCTGAAGACACAATGCTAAGTGAAGTACTGTACAGTATAAACAAGGTGTCCTGTTCACAAAAGGCATTGAGGGTCTACTCACAAGATGCACCCGGCCATGCAGGGCAGGCCTGTAACCCCAGCACTTGGGAGGGCAGGCCTGTAACCCCAGCACTTGGGAGGCTGAGACAAGAGAATCGCCATGAGTTCAAGGCCAGCTGGGTTACACACTGAGACCTTGCCTCAAACAAACTAGCAACAAACAAACAAGATGCACAGAACCATATAAAGAAAAAAAAAGATAGACTGTCAGTCCAAACAGTTGTTGACAGGTCTTCAAGCAAGGAGTGAGTCTCTACTCAGACCCCAGTAAGATTATTCCACTTTCTAAACTGAATCCTGAACAGTGGAAGGGCAACCAACACACTTCCATGGCAGAGAAAAAATAAGAATTCCTTACTCATTTTCATTTCTAGTAAATAGAATTTAGGATGGGAAGTTAAAAAGGAAGTTTCATTTTATTCTGAATCTTTTGAGAGAGCTGTAAGTTATTAATTTCATTTCCTGGCCATTGTAAGCACAAGTATCAAGTGATACCTCATAGCTCACTGCCTAAAACTTTACATGTGAATTTAAATTTTTTATTGATAAAATATTGCAACTTAAAGCTCTACTCTCCAATGTACATAAATTTGGGAAACCCAACTATATCCAGACACTTAAAGCGGAATAGTTTACTGACCCTAATTCTGCATCAGGACTTTAGAATTGATTCTCTCTTCTTTCAATTAGGGCTTTTCCCACTATAAGTCTCAGAATCTCTAAATTACAAATCTCTACACTGACTATGTTTTGGTCATGGCTTCAAGAAAAGAAAATGAAGCTATATATCCAGTAAATCCAGGCTGGGCATGGTGGTGCATGCCTGTCATCACAGCACTCGGGAGGCTGAGGCAGGCGGACTGCTGCGAGTTCAGGCTCAACCTGGGACACAAAGTGTGCAGCCTAAAGAGCTGCACAGGGGAATCCTGTCTCGAAAAGACCAAGCAATAAATAAGTAAATCCATTCCCAAAAGCTGAATTTACTGAAAATCTTATTTTAAAATGGTATTTCCTACTAAGGAAGAGACGTGAGCGTTAGAAAATCTGCCCTGGCTTTTATGTGTTCCCATGAAAGATCCTTTCCGAGACACCAGGCCCCCGGACCTTACTCCCGGCGGAGCTGCAGCGCCCAGCAGGAGCCCAGGCTGGGGTGAAGGGCTGGACCCTCCCCGCCCCACTCTGGGCGGAGGCCAGAATTTAAACGCAGCCCGAGGCAGGCGGGCGCTACTTACCGGGCGGGTAGAGGAAGCCGTGGGTGACTTTGCTGTCTGCAAAGTAGAGGGAGCAGTTCTGGCTGTCGGAGGGAGCGACCCTGACGTCAGCCCGCAGACAGTCTGGGAGCGCGGGCGGCGCGGGCGCGGCGTCCTCTCCCTGCAGGCAGGAGAAATCAAGCCGTTCCACCCACGCCGCGGCCGCCCCACCCCCGCGCGAGCTCCCGCGCTGTTTTTCTTTCCATCTCTTCCTATTTTCTTAGTGAATCAGGCCTGCACAGCCGTGGGAGGCGGTGTCTCCAGTCGGGCTTCCTCCTGTGGTTCCCTCCCGGCTGGGGACGTGGGTGGGGGTGGGGGGCCAGCCCGGGGACACCGGAGTGGACGGCGGGGCTGCTGCCAAACACCAGGCCTTCCTGGACGGCTCCCCGGTGGAGATGCGCGCAGTGGGTGCACACCACAGCGGAAATCACATAGGCACCACTTGTTTTCCGCGTGTAGTTTTTTGTTTTTTTGAAACAATGTCTTCCTATTGGAGTTCAAGCTGGCCTTGAGCTCACTTTGTAGTCCAAACTGGTCTCGAACTCGCAAGGATCCTTCTGCCTCAGCCCCACCGAGTGCTGCAATTACAGACATGTGCAGCAATGCCCGTGTAGATATGAACTTGCTGTGTTAATAATGTTTAGCTGGGTAAGAATTTTTCTTTTTTTTCCCTTTGTACAAGGAGTTGAACTCAGGCCCTTGCACTTGCCAGGCAGGCACTTACGCTACTGAGCTATATCCCTACCCCAGGGTAAAAATTTCTAATCAGCCTAAGATTAATTCCAAAAAGCCACTATTGTCTAAACATACTTATTTTTCTATTTAAATAAATTCATGACTATGCTTCGTTTATGATGAAATAAATTTTTAAATAACTTTCTTTGTAACCCTATTTATAAATGCACCTGGAGCACCTATAAAGGTGCTGCCTGGCCTCCACATCAAGGTAATTATGCATCACATAGCTATCATTTTGATTATATAATCAAGGATAAATGAACGGTATGGCTCCTTGGTTAATTTTAATTTTTTTCAGACATTTTGATTTACATACACAATGATCACAATGGGTTTTGTTTTATTCGGTTTGATCTTTTTGAGAAAAAGTCTCACCATGCAGTTCAGGCTGCCCTTGAGCTCACTGCAGAGCCCAGGCTGGCCTTGAACTCATGGCAATCCTCCTGCCTCAGCCTCCTGAATGAGTGCCAAGACTACAGGTGTGCATCAGCACAAATAGTATATTAAAAAAGAAATTAAATTAAACTAGGTTGACTTTCCTTTATATATTCCACTGTGCTGAAAGCAGAAATTAGCTACGTGGTCAGATGTTCATGAAATCAACAAAGAGCAAAGAAAGAGCCATGTGCGTTCTCTGCCGTAGTTACAGGCAGGGGAGCATGGTGCCGAGATCTAATCTCTGTGGGAGCTTTGCATAAAGAAGCCAGGGAGAGCCGGCCATGCCTGTGCACCCCGACTTCCCACAAAACTCTGACTGGAAAAAGCGTGGCTTACAGTAATGAAGTCCACCTCTCACCATGACTGAGCACAGACTCTCTCGTTTGTTGGGCCTTTCTCAAATCTCACAAGAATATCAGTAATAATGAAGCCACATCAGAGATGAACACTCTGAAGTTGCAAAGCAGATGAGCAAACAGTAATTTGACTGCACAGGCCAGCAGACACGGCCCCCAAGAGCCAGCTGAGGCAAAGCATAGAGAACTGGAGAGAGGCTCACAAAGGTACAACTGGCCTCTTCCCAGGACAGAGTGTATGACTGGGGCTCAACACAGAGGAGAGACTGGCAGTCTGTAGGAAAGGCCAGAGTGCTTACTCTCTAGAGCTTAAGCCAGAGAAACCACTGCAGTAAAGACCACAGGGCACGACAGGGCCATATTGGAAACCATGGCGGCCAGGTGTGGTAGTGCACACCTGTAATCCCAGCACTTGGGAGGCTGAGGCGGGAGGATCACTGTGAGTTCCAGGCCAGCCTGGGCCACATAGCAAGACTCCCTCTCAACACTTGCCAAAATTCAGTGATTCAGTGATACAGAAAATATATATATGGGTGTGTGTGTGGATAAATACAATTTTGTGTATGCCCAAAGTGAGCTCAAGTCTACCTCTAGGAGACTATTTTTCAAAGTATGCTGTATTTTTTTCTTCTGAAAAACTCCTTTGGTTTTATATTAAATGTATGAAGCATCTAATCTAAAAAATTACAATTCTTGCATTTATTTTTCCATCTAGCAACTGAAAAGCTCATTCACATCTTTCTGCCGAGCAGGCGCAGTAAAACCTGGCTGGCCTTCAACTCACAGTGACTTCCGATACAACAGAAATCAGAAAGCTCACCAAACCCTCAGCAGAACAAAACCCTGTAAAATTTCAAGGCGCAGGCCAATTGGATCCATGTTTCAATATGTGCTTACTTCAAGTCTGACTTTTCAAACACAGGGCTGATTTACAACACTTTTTATGTGAATCTCAAAATATCCTTGTATGTAATTTTCTTGGACCACAACACATGAACGGGGTAATTTCTGAATTAGAAAGCAGAAAATTGCTAGAATTCCATCCTGTGGTGGGGAAGGCAGAGAGAGACAAGTAGTTCTGGGGCCTAAGAAAGGACAGGATCTGTTGCTAACAAAGAAGCCAGTTTTTAAACAATCACAAAGAACAATTGTACCAAACTCCGAGTCCAAACTCACTTAAAAATCTCTCTGGCTTTGGTTTCTGCCAGAGCTCATAGAAATTCAGGAATGCAAGACAGCAGAGGAGAATATTTAAAAATATAAACTTTCCCTTCAGCATCATACAATTCCCAGTATCTGTCTGGACTTTGCAAAACAGACTTGAATACCGAGGCTGACCTTGAGTACGCCCCCTTTCCAAAACAAAAACAAAATAGAAATTAGTTTAAGGAATGTTGAAGTAAATCAGGAACAACCAAACACTGCGACAAGCATATATTAGGGAAAGTAATGCTGCCGGCAGCCCACACGTAAACCCAGGACACTGGGAAATATTTATGGAGGCTGGGAAACAAGTTACATTACCACTTTCACCAGGGACCACAAAGGAACCATTGTGGACGCTGAGCTGCCATTCAGAACACACACGGCTTGACTTGGTGGTGGGAAAATATGCTCATTTTCCTCCAAAGCTCTTGAATCAGACCAAGCAGGGTAGATAAACAGGATACAAGCAATTACTTCCTTTCCATCAGAGAAGCCGCATGGTTAGGAAGAGCCGTTAAGAGCTAGAGTTTGCCATCGGTCTCTGAATCTAAAATTTTATGATTTTCTCACCCCGAACAGCTTCCTGATTACTTATTTACTCTCCTGGTTGGCAGCACAACTGTCTTTAAGAAGTCTTTAAAAATACCTGGGGATGTGGCTCCGTGGCACAAGCACCTGCCTGGCAAGCTCCAGGTTGTGAGTTTGCACTAGCTTTTGGCACCCTTGAAACTTTGGTTTCTCTCTTCCTGATTGCTAATGAGCATGTGGTACTTAATGCAAATCTTTTACCATTTATTAACTAAGGCCCTTGTCATTCTCTCTTCTTTCTTGGTAGAAAATTTCACATCTATTCTGGACCCTAATTACTATTCTGGATATTCATCACTTATTTCTTCTATGCAATGCAAATACATTACCCCCTGCATAATTACCACACATGAATGCCAATATATTCAAGTTAGTTCCCTCCGTGAGCTATGACTCTTCTGTTCTAAGATATCAGTCTGTAATCCAAGGTCAGAAGGCTGTGCACAAAGGAAAATAAGGATTTGCCATTCATGAATAGGTCTATAAGTATATGGGCAATGAAATCATTGTGTAGAGTCAGGTAGTGATCCAAGGTTTTCTCCTGATGAAGAGCAGGCTGTCCTGGCTCACTGAGGGCAGTGGAGTTTGCCAGACAGTAAAGAGAGGGGGGAGTTAAGTGAGTGGGCTCCCCAGCTCCACCCGGAGAGACTGTGACATTCATAACACAGCCCGGCCTGGAGGGTGCAGGTCCTCAGGGAAGGGTTATGTCTCCCTGCTGTTGTGTTCCCTGTGCCGTCCATGGCACACGGCGGACAGTAAAATCCTCAAGTAATAAATAAAGCCTCTTATACCCCACTGGCATCACCTCTGAGACACCCACCCCACCCCTGGGGAATCCCCATGAAGGTGCCTCCGAACCTCCTGTTGCTTCTTTCTGAACTGTTTTTTTGTTTTCTACTTGCTTTCCAATTGGCAAACTGGCCATAAAAAAACCTTCCAATTTTTCTAGCAAAGCACCATGTGTTCTTCTCTCACATCCACAAAGCAACTATCAAGACATTCCTGTAACACCTGGAACACTTCCTTATCCGCCAATTCCCATCATGATCTCTGCAGCCAAACAAAATCCAAGCCTTGGCACAGGAACGAAGCACACATTTTTCGCAGCCAGCCAGGGCCCCGGAACATGGGGTGGGGCTTCCTTACCGGATTGGGGACCGTGTACGAGCTCCACAGGGGCATCATCAGTGCCTTTGCAAACCCGCTGATGTACTCTCGGTGGTACAGGAGGCAGTAGTCCTGGTTCTCCTGTATGACCCTGGGTTTCCCAAACGGCAGGTTGGCTTTCACTGTCACCGTTACTGAAATCAGAATAACGTAAAATGTACTTGTGAGATAAGCACGTATTTCTAGGTAGACAGAGATCATCACTCTCGGATGACTTACCTGTTGGAAGCTCTGACAAACAGTCTACCCACTTGACCTGTTTAAGTTTTACAACAACGCTGCAAAGTAGGCACTATTATCCAGTCATGTTGATGACAAAACTGAGCAGGTAAATTGGCCGAGCCAGGGGCTCAGCAAAGATCAGAAGCCTGCTCCCATTAGCCCCCATGCCTAAGAGCTCACAGATACATCTAAAGAGACAAAGCCTTAGGGAGCAGCAGGGCGTATTTTATAACGAAGATGATGTACGTGAGGAATCATCACGGGAAGACACTGGGACTTCATCAAAATGACATCTGCGATGGTCTGGATGTTCGAGTCCTCCTGAAATCATGTGAAAGCCCTAACCCCCAGGTGACGGCATGTGAGTGTGAGACTCTGGGAGATGATTTAGGTCCTGAGGTGCAGCCTCCATCAGTGGGAGTAAGACTCCAAAAGGACCCCGTGAGATGCTTCGTCCCTCCTGTCCCGGGAAGGCAGGGGGAGAAAATTGCCCACAGGGAACCAGGCCCTGGCCAGACGCTGGGCCTACTGGCAGCCTGCCCTTGGACTTCTCAGCCTCCAGAGCTTCAAGAAATAACACTCCATTCTCTGTAAGTCACCCCATTTATGGTGTTTGGTTACAGCAGTCTGAACAGATGATGACGTGTCCTATTATATTTTTACTTACATGCTATTATACGGATTCAACCAACTACAGGTTAGAAACATAGCTATGCCTATTCTGCATACAGATTGCATCTGTAGTAGGAACATAAAAGTTAATTTAAAGTTTATGGTAAGATGTGCATGAGTCATATGCAAGTACTGCATCATTTTATACAGGGGACTTGAACATATTCAGCTTAGCTTTCTCCAGGGGCCTTGGTACCAAATCTTTCACAGACACCAAGGAATAACTACACTGTTTTATAAATGATGAAATTGAGGCATGGTGAGTTTAATCCAAGACTACTTAACAAATAACAGGACAAAGTAATAGTGTTGCAAGACAGGACTGCTGGGAATTCTGTTCACGGATTAACTTTTTAATCTTTACAGCCACATGCAGTGGGTACAGTTACTAGAGGAGGCAGGAAGCCTGGCAGACAGCAAGCCAGGACTGACATCCAGGAGGCAGCAGGGCAGACAGAGTTCGAACGCAGGTAGTTTGCTCTGTTCGCATCTTAGAAAGGAAATTTGGAGCTGTACAGGAGGCACAACCGGGTCCAGGGTTTATCGGGCTCCTGGACAGCTGCCCCTCCCCTCCTGCTTCCTATTCCTTGTTCTTAGATCTGTGGGATTTTTCCTCTAGTGCATCGGCAACAAAATCTTTAGGTATAAGAGGCCCTGTGAGCTCATTTTGGAAAACTCGAAAGGGCAAGACTGCTTCATATTTAATTCTAAATACCCAACCACCTATTGTCTACCGACTTACTTTCATCTTGGGTGAGGTTTAGCAGCTGATTCATAGACTCTACTTGAGTATCCTGTAAGATAATAAGAAAGAGAGTAAATCAAAGTAATAATGCATACGAATGTGTGATTAAGATTATCTCTGCAGCAGTTACAGGAAGTGTTTTACTACGAGAGTCACAAAGTCTTAACAGCTCCAGCATTGCTGAAAAGTCCAAGTCCAAAGTCTCTTCTGAGGTTCAAGGCAAACTCTTAGATCTGAACAAAGAAACCAGACTGATTTGGGTTTAAATTTTTATTCTGTCTCTACTCAGAAATATGGAAATGGTGCTGCTCCCCTCATCCTTCTCTTGTGCAGGCATCCAGAAAGACAGAATTAACAATGAGGCAAAACATTCAGGCAACAGCCAGCATCGATATCTTAGTTATGATAGTGCTATATTTAAACTGGAAATGTTCCCTCAAGTCTCATGTGTTTGGAAGGTAACTGGATGATGGCGTGCTATGCTCAGCAGTGGGTTCATCCATTGATGAGGTCAGGGGTTAAATGTGAAAATAGGAGGTAGGGCTTGGTTGGAGGTGTGGATCGGGAAGACTATGTTCTTGTCCCCAACTCCTCTTCTTTGCTGTTTCCTGGCTGCCATGGCAAGATCCGTTCTCCCCCATCATCAACTTGCACCAACCATGCTGTTTCTGCCTTGGAGACTACCAACCATTGACTGTGAACCTATAGGCTTCTCCTCTTTTAAATTGTTGGCATTGAGTATTTTGTCCCAGTGACAAGAAAGTGACTCATACCAAAAACTGGTACCAGGAGTGGGTTGTTCCAGTGACTACACCTGATCATGTGATTCCAAAGCCTTAAAAAAATGGCTTGCAAGAAGAATCTGGAAAGCTTTGGAAATAGTGGCTAAAGAAGCCTTAGAATGCTGTGATAGAGTAAGCAGAGATAGATGGGAGATTCTGGTAAGTGGTTAGGAAATCGGAACACCAATAGGAATGTGGACAATAAAGGCCAAGCTCATAAGGTTTTAGTTGGTAATAAGGATTTCATTTAACTTTGGATTAGAGGCGATGTGTGCTACAACTCTGGCAGAAAGTGTGTCTAGATTTTACCCCTGGCTTAAGGCTTTGTGTAGGCTAAACTTAAAGGCTGTGGACTAATTAACCTGGTGCAGAAAATTTCAAGACAGCTCAGTGTTGAGGTTGTGGCATGGGTAGTGATGGCTAGATTTAGCTAGATCTATAGTGAGAGTCAGAAGTAAAATGCAGAGCAAAAAGACTGGGCCAGAAAGGAAGCACATGCCTGCATAGCTGAGGCAAAGGATAGCATGGCTGCTGAGAAGATTAGCATCAAAGGGGACCAAGTACTTTACGTCAAGATCATAGGAAAGATGGCATTAAGGCACCCAGAAATCAGCAAGACACCATCGGTCACAGGTTCAAAGATGCCAAAGGGTAAACCTTTCATTTGAGAAGAGAGCTGATGAACAGAGGCAGTCGTGATGAGGAAAGACTGCCTAAGCAATTGGTTCTTGGAATTCATTTTACCATTACCATGCTCAGTCATCCAGGAACCCAGAGGCCACTACAGCCATAGTCTAAGGGGATACCGGTACCACTATTATTGACAGAGATCTTGGCATCATCTGTGTGGTGCTGATTTTTCAAACATGCACAATACAAGAATTGAGGGTTTGGAAAGAATGGCTATTATCAAGAAATCAACCAATAACAAATGCTGGAGGGCCTGTGGGGATAAAGGAATCCTTCTCAGCTATTGGTTCCAGTGTAGACTGGCATCACTGTGGAAATCAGTGTGGAGATTCCTCAAAAAACTAAGTTTGAAGGTCCCATTTGACCCAGCTATTCCCCTTCTGGGTATTTTCCCAGAAGAATTAAAAACATCATATCTCAGTGATATATGTGCACCCATGTTTATAGCAGCTCAATTTGTAATAACTAGATCTTGGAAACAACCTTAAAGCCCATCAACTGAGGAATGAATAAAAAAGGTGTCTTTTTATACAGCAGAGCATTATTCAGCCATAAAGAAGGATAGGCTGGTAAATGGATGCAATTGAGACCACAGTCATAAGTGAAATGAATCAGACTCACATGTGTAAACACTGTATTGTCTCACTAGTGTGAGAAGCTGAAAGAAACAACGTATGTATATGTATTTAAAAAGACAGTTACAGTAGTTATAATACTGATCTGAGCTCATTGAAGGGAAAGATCTGTGCTAGTATCATTCAGACAATTGAATGCAGATGTCTTATGCTCTGGGTGAATGACTTGAGGATGACATTATGCAGTGTATGAACCATTGCTGCCCCTGACTGACGTGTTTTGAAATTTTACTTTTTTTCTGTTTGAAATAAAATGGATTTGAAAGAAAAAAAGAACTGTGGAGTGACAGAGTTTCACATGGAGACATCAGAAGCAGCCCTGGGAGGCCAGGCAGGTGCCTCCCAGAAAGGCAGTGAGTGAAGCCCCAAGACTGAAGCTAAAGTCCAGAGGAGACCCCAGGGTAGAGACGCCAGAGGGGCAGGAGATCTGCTAAAGAAAGCTTACGGCGGCAAGAGGAGACAGCCCCTGGGAGAGGTGTGGGGTTAGTGACTCACAAGGGCATGGGATGAAGCTGCCGAGCCCTTTGGAGTTCCATCTCACCACCACCTGCCCCAGGTCCTGGAGCTACAAGATTGATGTTTGCCCTCCAGGGTTTTGGACCGGCATGGGTCCCATTTCTGTCTATGCTCCTATTCCTCCCTGTGGGAATGGGAATTTTCCCCCTGTGCCATTATATCGAGGAAGTATTGAACTGTCCTTCTGATTTTTATAGGAGCTTCCATCTAAAAGTGTACCTTGAGTCTCAGAGGAGATTTTGGACTTGGACTTTCAGTAATGCCGGAACTGTTAAGACTTTGGTGATTCCCAGATACAGACTAAGTGCACTTTGCCTAACGAGATGAGATAGGCCCCTGCAAGTGAGGGGTTGAATGTTATGGTTTACACCTCAAATGTCCCCTGCAATGTATGAAGGTGACTGGATCACAGGGTTGCTGTAGTCATCAGCAGACTCATCCCCTGATGGCTCCTATTGTTTGGTGCAGGCTGAATGTGTAGATCTGATTTTAAAAAGTAAGTTCAAAGCAACCCCGTGATCCAGTGGACTCATCCACTGGTGGGTGTAGTAACTCAATGTGATGCTAGGTAGTGGGGCCTGGCAGGAGGTGGGTCAGTTGGGGTGTCACTTGGAAGTCTCTGTTCCTGTCCTTTGTTCCTCCCTTGCTTTCTGCTTCCTGACCTCCACGGCGTGAGCAGATTTCCTCAGGAAGGCTCTTCTTCCATGCTGTTTCTACCTTGGAGCAACGATCATGGACTGTACCCACTGAAATCGTGAGCCAAATAGCCCTCCCCTCCTTTAAGCTGGAGGCGTCAGGTGTTCTCTTTCAAGGGTGGGAAAGAGGCATGGACAGCTGGCCACATCTCAGTGCTCCCAGGTGCTCTGACATTCGCACAAGCTCCTCAGGGTTTGCTAAAATGTAGATTTTAACTCAGTAAACCCAGGGCAGGAGCTGAGATTCTGCATCTCCTTCCAGCTTTCAAGTGATGAAGGTACTGGTTCCAGGACCACACTCCTGAGTGGGCAGAGGCCTTTTCTACTGAGACAAACCCTGGGTTTGCACTCAGACAGACCAAACTTCTATGACCTTGGGCAGCTTGTCTAGTTTCTCTGAGTCCTTTTTATCTCTTAAATGTGAAATAAAGGCCTGATTTATTTCACTTTCTCTTTAAGGGCCGTTCCTCCGAGGCTATGGAGCAGCAGGCAGGAAGCCGTGGGCATCTGTGGAACACAGTTGTGAGCCTCACTTCCCTACTCTGACCTTGCCATGGATTTACCATGTTTGGGTGAATATTTATTTACACCTGAGTGTAATGTTAGCCTGAGGGTTAAAGAGCGCAGAGTCTCTGCCCACCCTGCCCAGTAAGAAACCATTTTCACCAGCCGAGAAGGTATCTGTTTAGCTCTACAGCCAACTGCTCCACTCAGCATAAACGCATCTGACCTTCACCCAGCTGTGTGGTCTTCTGATAACGGGGCTCCGATTTCCTTCTGAAACCCAGCACCTCCCGGGTGCTCTGGTTCTCATGGTGCCACTGCCCCACTCCCTGTGTTTCTGACTCTTGCCTTGGGGATGCTCCAGGGGAACTGGGCTTTGTTTGGTGTCCTGGATCTGAGGTTCTGCTTCTGGACTCAGCCCGGGCCTGATGCACCAGAAAGATCTGCCCGGGGTCCACTGTCGGTCATACACAGATGCCTGATAGGAACTCCCCGCCGCTACCCAGGGGCACCCTCAGTGCCTGCTCCATCTAACACTGAATTCCAATCTCTTCTCCCTCCAGTTACGCTGGGTTCACATAGCCACGCACAGCCACTGGTCTGATTTTTAAACTGTTAAGATCAGTTCATAAAGGAAATCAAAGACAGCTCCGGCAGTAATATTTTGAATAACTATGGACAATCAGCTCACAGTGGAATGAACAATTCCTTCCCAAACCATGCTTCCCAAGTACAAAGCGCATTCATACCTGTATCTCACAGTGCAGGCACTGTAACCTCTACTTCCAGGTAAAGTTCTGAGAAGCCTCGCATCTCTGCTCAGGAAACATGCAAGCCAGGGCACACACCTGACTGTCAGCACTCCCCAGAGAGACCCGCTTGCACCTTAATGATCCTGGGGGTTTGCAAAGCGGCTACTCACATTCTGCAGCTGAGGGCAGGAGCAGTTTAGGGTGTCCATGGGCAGTGAGGCAGTAAAGCCGCAGACTGACAAGTGGGCCACTTCCTGTGGATGGGATGGCTCATAGAAAGGCTTCTTCAGAAGATGGTTCAGGCTCCCGTGGGTACCATTGTTTGGTGCAGGCTGAATGCGTAGAAGATCTGATTTTAAAAAACAAGTTGAAAGCAACATTCAGTTAGAAAGGAACAGCTTTGAGCCGGGTGTGGTGGCTCATGCCTGTAATCCCAGCACTCAGCAGGCTGAGATGGGAGGATCGTTGCAAGTTCGAGACCAGCCTGGGCTACAAAGTGAGCTCAAGACCAGCCTGAACTGCATAGCAAGACCCTATCTCAAAAAAGACCAAAAAAAGAAAAAAGAAAAAGAAAAAGAAAGAAAGTAACAGTTGGGCGTGATGGCACGCGAGTACAATCTCAGTACTCGAGGCTAAGGCAGGATCGCTGTGAGTTCGAGGCCAGCCTAAGTTACATAAGTGAGTTCAAGACCAGCCTGAACTACATGAATCCCCTCTCAAATTAAATAAATGAAAAATCTAGAAGGCAATAGCTCTCATACAGGAGATGGGGAAAACAAATATCTACTCATGTTCTTCAGCACCTCCCATGAACCTCCTCTGCTCCCCTGAAGGAAAGCTTCTCTGCCTAAATAATAGCTTTGCTTAAGCACACGTTGTTTCTCGGTGTGTGGTGTCCATACCTGTAATCTCAGCACTCTTGGGAGGCTGAGGAAGATTTCAGTGAGCTCAAGGCCAGCCTGGGCTACACAGTGAATTCAAGCCTAACCTCAACTACATAGCAAGACCCCGCCTCAAAAAGCAAACAAACAGTATTTTTAGCCATGTTTACACTGGCTTGAAAATTTTGGGAGTTTTTAAAGTTTGTTTTCCTAAATTTTCTAAAATTAAATTATCATATAATTATGAAGAGAAAAGCATGGTTTCCTAATGTTTAAAGTAAAATTCCTAGTACAGCAAAAAGAATTTACTCTTATGAAAGCTATGTACCTTTGCTTGTGACTGCATTTATATATACTTACCACACATTAAATTATAGAGTTCAATATTTTCAAATGGTTCAATTTCCAAATTCTCTTTAAAACTGGATCCATGTGCCAAAAAGATAGCCTAGGAGATAATGGTCATATTTTACTCAGTGACATCCACACACACACATAAGTGCAGAAAAGACACTGTTTTCCTGTGACAAATCTCCTATCAGTATCTTTGGCCTTCATAATTTTTTTGTTTTTTATTTTAGTTTAGTTTAGTTTTGGTCTTTTTGAGGCAGGGTTTTACTATGCAATTCAGGCTGGCTTTAAACTCACTTTATAGCCCAGGCTGGCCTTGGACTCCCCGAGATCCTCCTGTCTCAGCCTCCCAAGTGCTAGGATTATAGGCCTACACCACCCACCCAGCATAAGGATTTCTCTTCAGATTTGAAAATGACTTTTAAGTCATTTCCCCTGTGATGTCCCAATGCCAGTCAAATACAACCCATGCTGTGTTTATTTGTGTCTCTATCTGCTTCATTAGACTAGGGGGACACAGGAGACTGGACAGCCTGCACCCCCAACACTCTACCACATCTGGACAGTGCACAGCAGTGAGTCTGCGAGTAGTACCATCTACCCCCTCCATCCTGTTCATTTCATTGCTCCAAGACATTTTGCATGATGTCATAAAGAGATCTAAGTTGTTTGTTGTTGTTTTGCTTTGTTTTTGAATCAGGGTCTCACTACATAGGGTTCTGAACTCACCATGTAGCACAGACTGGCTTCAAACTCATGGCAATCCTCCTGCCTCAGCCTCCCAAGTTCTGACACTACAACCATGCAGCACCATACCTGGCTGAGACCGAGGTATTTTGATTCACATTTACTCAACGCTCACACCGTGTCTTATAATAAGCCTAATGATTTAAGATTGCAATAAAGCAGAAGAAAAGCATCAAACATACACAAGCACTCTTCTCCGTAACCAGGCTCATAGAAATATTTTCTCTAAGCTAATCTGTAACGGATTGGAGGCATAGTTTTTTTTTTTTTTTTTCGACAGTTGTGAATTTAATTGCTACATAACAGAAAAGTCTGTTTCCAGAGAATTTTCAAACATTTACAGAAAGATGTAACCCACCATGAATCTGGGGAAGGGCAGAGTGTTCAGGAAGAGCCTGATACACATCCTCCTATTTGGAGAGGAGCGTGTATGCGTCTGTGCATATGTGTGTGTGCACACATGTGTGTGCACATCTTCCTGTAATAAGTGGACCAGAGAAGACAAACAGAAAGCAGAGAACTCCGCCTGAAGCAACATCTGGGCATTTTGCCCCCAGGCTGCCCTGTGTATTTTGTTCCTCCTCAAACTCCTGGACTGTGGTCTTTCTCATCACAGCCTCCACATCCCGCTGTTCCCCGGAACTCCTTTTCTCCAGAGCACCCCCAAACAGCAGCGTCCCACACTCAGTGCTTGTGCTGTACCCATACCCCACCCCCGGGGCTCTCATCTAACTCTGTGAGTTTTAAACTGTTTCTAAGGAGATCCCGAGAGCAGTCGAAAAACAGCCTCTCAGACCTGGTGCTCAGATGCTGGATTAAAGCAAGGTGAGGAAGAGGAGGAGGGGGACGTGGGTCCCCAGGACCCAGCAAGGATCTGAAGTGAGAGCTGAAGCCCACGGGGAGAGAGGAGAGAGATCTCAACCCAAGCAGGTGGCAGACAGACACGAGTGACCACAGCCACCACAGACACTCTGGGGAGAAACCTTCGAGTGGGGAGTGACCACAATGACCACAGAGACCCGGGGAGAAACCTGCGTGTGAGTGCTGGAGCAGGGGATGCAGCTGACTGCAGTGGCTGGTGAGTTACTCAGGTTCACACACCCCCAGGAGAAGGCAATGGCCATCACCATCTTGGAGAGGGGTCACTCGAGATCGGAACTCAGAGCAGCTGTGGGCCGGCTCCATCCAGCAGCCCCCAGTGTCACCTTGAGGTGGAGCTCAGTTCTAGTTGGTTGGCCAGCAGGGAGCCGAGTTCCAGTGGCAGGAGGTTAAACAAAACCAGCTCCAGTGTCACCGCCAGACACCAGCCTGACCTGCAGGTGCAGCTTCCTGGAGTCACAGACTGCCCCCCCCCCCCAGTAAATCTGCGACTGGCTTGCTGGGATAATCACCACGGAGCTGGGTTCTGTGTGTCCACATGGTCTACCAGTCACAGCAGCGACACCCCCTGAAGTGGACATTTGCCTTTTCTTTCCTTCACTTTTGTTTTCTTTTTCCCTGTTTGTTCTTGTTTTTATGCGAGTGTGAACTCCGTGTCTAGTATTTTTGTACTTGTTGTTCTGTTCTGTTCTCGTTTTTACCTCTTTCTTCTGGTCTTCTTCCTCACTTTTCCAAAGTTCTCCTCATATTCCTTTGTCCTCCAGCCTTGCTTCTAATCTTATCATCTATTTTTCCCCATAAAGCCTTTAGAATTTCCTCCTAACATCGCCATACTGAGGGCATGTTAAATGTATGTAATTTTTTATTTTGTTTCAGATGTTGTTATGCAACCACAAATACTGTACCTGGTTACAGGTGGCAAATTAAGAGTCACCAGTTTGTCATCTTCTAGGCTGAGTTTGATGTTACTGCCGATTGCCCTGTTGCCATGGTGATGTAAGTGTGCTAATCGGCTGTGCTTCACGGCACACCAAGGCTGAGATTGCCTAAATTTAAGAAGACCTAATGCTGCTACTTCTCAAACTCTTTAATGAAATCAAACTCTTTCCTTCAAGCAAGCATTACCAGGAACCCAAACCAGAGAAGGATCCAGCCAAAAAAGAGAAGCACAGGCCAATCTCCCTAAGGAACATAGATGCAAAAATTCTCAGTAAGATCCTTAAAAACAGAATGGAGCAAACCGTCAACAAGATTAGATACCATGACCAGGATTCAGCCCAGAGATACACGGATGGATCCACAATTGTAATCCACCACATTGACCCAGCCAATGACAAAAATCATATGATCATCTCAATAGATGCAAAATAAAGCATTTGACAAAGCCTAATGTCCATTCATGATAAAAACTCTATAGGAGCTGGGAATATAGCTCAGCAGCATAAACACCTGCAAGGTCCTGAGTTTGATTCCTGATACCAAAAGAAAAAAACTTAACAAAAACCCTACAGAAAATTGGAATATATGGTTTTTATTTCAATCTGATAAAAGCCATATATGACAAACCAATGGCCATCACCATACTAAGTGGACAAAAACTGAAAGCTTTCACTCTAAAATCAGGAACAAGACAAAGACGTCCACTGTCACCACTCCTATTCAGTAGAGTTCTGGAAACATTAGCCAGAGCAATTAGACATGAGAGAAACAAAAGGAATAAAGATAGGAAAAGGAGTAAAATTATCATTATTTACAGATGGCATTATACTTTATATAGAAATCCTCAAAGTCTCTACCTAGATTTAATAACTAAATTTAATAACTAAATTCAGTAGCATACCTGGGTACAAAGCCAACACTCAAAAATCAATAGGTTTTTGTACATGAATAACCAACTCACAAAGAGAGAAATCAGGGAAACAACACCTTTCACAATGGCATCCAAAAACTGAAATGCCTTAGGAATCTATCTAACAATGTAAAAGACCACTACACTGAAAACTACAGTATTCTGAAAAAGAAAGTTGAAAAAGATATTAGAAGATGGGAAGACATCCTTTGCTCAATATAGTGAAAATGGCCATACTCCCAAAACTGTTATACAGATTTAATGCAATGTAAATCAAAATTCCAACAGCATACCTCACAAATTAAGAGAAAACAATTCTAAAATTCATTTGGAACCAGAAGAGGCCTAGAACAGTAAAGACAATACTGGACAACAAAAGCAAGGCAGAGGGCATCACAATCCCTTCCTTGAAATTATAGTACAAAGCTCCTGCAATAAAACAGCATCTCACTGGCAAAACAAAAAAACAGAGCCAAGGATCGGGGAAACAGACTGGAGGATGCAGACACAACTACAAACACATTCAGCCACCTTGTCTTTGACAACAGGGTCAAATATGTTTACTGGAAGGAAGATCGCCTCTTTAACAAAGGGTGCTGGGAAAATTGCTTTCCACACGCATAAGATTAAAACTAGACCTGTACTTTCCACCATGCACTAAAACTAAAATCAAAGCGGATGAAAGACTTAAATATTAAAACAGAAACCAGAAACACTAAATCTGCTGGAAACAGAACAGGTAGACTTCTTTCTTTTTTTTTTTTTTTTTTTTGTCTTTTTATCGGTACCGGGGATCGAACTCACGACTGCCTGCTTACAAGGCAGGCGCTTATGCCCCTGAGCTAAATCCCCAGCCCCAACAGGTAGACTTCTTGAAGACATTTGTTCAGGCAAAGACTTCCTGAACAGAACCCAATTACATGGGAAGTATCACAAAGGATCAACAACTGGGATTCATGTCATTATAAAGCTTTTGCACTGCAAAAGAAATAAGCAGAGGAAAGAAAACCTGCAGTGTGGGAAAGAACTTTTACCAGTTTTTCCCCAAAGGAATACTATCTAGAATATATAAAGAACTACAACAATCAGACACCACAAATTTAAAGACCCAATCTAAAAACAGGCATTTGAGATGAACACACACTTCTCAGATGAAGCAGACATAGAAAATAAGTGTATTAAAAAATGTTCAACATCACCGTTCACTCAAGAGATGCAAACTAAAGCAATCAAGGGATTCTGTTTCACCCAGAAAGAATGTTGTTATGCAGAAATCAACCAGTAATAAATGCTGGCGGGGCTGTGGGGAAAAAGGAGTCTTTTCCACTGTTGGTGGGACTGTGGACTGTGCAGCCACTGTGGAAATCAGTGTGTAGACTCTTCAAAAGCCTAACACTAAGGTCCCACTTGACCCAGCTATTTCCTTTCTTGATATCTTCCTGAAAAAATTAAAAGCATCATACTATAGTGATATATGTGCACCTATGTTTATAGCAGAACTGTCTGTAATAGCTAAATCCTGGCAACACCCTGAATGCCCCCCAACTGATACCTGGATAAAGACTTGTTTTTATACAGTGAAGTACTACTCTGCCATAAAGAAAGCTAACCCTGAGACACTTCTAGGGATGCATCTTGAGATGTAAATGGGACACACACGTGTAACTACCGCATTGTCTCTCTGATGTGAGAAACTTACAGTGTAAATAAAGCCAAAATGTGTCATAGATACTGAGAAATGGGAACAAAGTGTTCAAATGAGAAATGGAACTAGGAACACAGTGGAGGAAAATTAAAAAAGGACCACAGGGAAAAAAGAATAGGAAGAGCAAATGGAAACAAAGCTTTTCTAAATAAAGAGGGGAGGGATGAAGTGAGGGGAGGAGAATGGGAAAAGAAGCAGCAGCATACACCAAGTATGGGTACAAATTCCCTAAGAGGGACGGGATTGTCATGGATACCTGAAACGCACCAATAATAAAACTAGTTCCTCTGACCCGGGTTCCCTGGAGCACACCGAGCCTGACATCCACTCCCAAGCGTGCACCAGGCACCCCAGCCTTAGGCCCCCATCTTTCCCCCGCTTTGCTTTTCACTGCCTTCGGCCCTTTCTCCATCTGCCACCTCTCTACCGCTGTCTCCTCCCCCTCCTCAGCGCGATTTCCCAAAAGGAGAGACATCTGTTCTTCGCACATTGTCAAGAGGCTTAGATACTGCTTATCCCGTGGTCAAGAAGCCTCAGTTTTCAAATCAGCGGTTTGACAGGCCGGGTGTGATCCCAGCGCTCAAGAGGCTGAGGCAGGAGGATCGCCATGAATTCAAGGCCAGCCTGGGCTCCACAGCAGGTCCCTGCCTCAAAAAATACATACACATAAAAATTTTAAAATGCCAGCAGTTCGTTACCTCCATGCTCTTAAAGTTGTTATCGTAGCCGTGGGTGCCGCCTCCACACGACGTGCTGGCCTTGGACCTAAGGAGAGAGGATGTCAGCGCCCGGCCCAGTGTCTGCAGGGCCTCGCTGCACAGCAAGTGTTGCGGCCTGGGACAGCACAGAGTCTGGGAAGAGGGAGGCGCTGTGTCCAGGCCCAGGTGCAGCTGCCTGCGGCCTCTGACTGACGCCAGGGCTCAGGGGTTACAGTTTTGGAGCTGGGAAAAAGCACGGATTCATATGCATAGAGGAAATGTCCAGAGACACAATATCAAAGCAGGACTGAGGCACAGTGAGGGGGCAGAAGGGTCGCCTGCTGCGAGCCCCAGGCCAGCTGGGCTCCTTAGAGAGTTCAAGGTCACAGTGAACCACCTCTCAAAAAGAGCGCCCAGACCCTCCACAAAAGAATATCCCAGGCCAGCTGATCCCAACACCTGGTAAGGAAAAGCTGGCATATTCTAAAATTCAGAGTTTCTTTTTAACTCTTGGGATGGCCTCCTATGAACTGTAGCTCTGTTCCTTGAATAACGTTTTTTGTTTTTTGCATACCAGGAATCGAACTCATGACCTTGCACTTGCCAGGCAGGAGTAATCTTGCTGAGCAGTAACCCCAGCCCTCATTGAATAACTCTGAATCTGTAATTAATTTGTCTTCTGTTCACCGGTTCAAGTCTTCACCTTCAAATTGAGTGGTGTCAGAATGTCATGCAGAGCTGGTTTTTATCTTAGAATAAACAGTGACAAATAATCCTAGACTTTCTCAAAGCCACAGTGTTCTATCAGCTCATGTTTGGTCCCTGAAGGGAACAAGAGTCCAATTTCTAATGTCTGAACATAAACACTTTCTCTCATTTGCTTCTTCCCCCTGCTTCCCTGGAGCACACAGGCCAGACACACACACATACACACATATTCATGCACACACCGAGTTTCTGTTTGGTTTCACAGGGAGAATTCACTAAGAAGAGATGAGAAATCTGGAGCCTTAAAGAAAATGTTTTAGCTGTGCTTGGTGCCACCTGCCTGTAATCCCAGCACTTGGAAGGCTGAGGCAGGAGGATTGCTGCAAGTTCACAGCCAGCCTGGGCTGCAGAGTGAGTTCAAGGCCAGCCTGAACTGCATGTTGAGACTCTGTTTCCAAAAACAGTTTTAAAAATTTGTAATAGACTCTCACTCGGTTTAAGCAGAAAATAAAAATGAATCACAAAGTAAAAATGAAATCACACCTGTGGCTAGGAGGAGGGGTCATACACACCTAGATGGGTGAGAGAAGGCAGAGCCCTGCTTTGTAAGGTGTTGAAATGGTCAGTTCCTGCCTTATCTTAGTATAGGTTAGAATTTGTTTCTTAAAGCATCATTGGCTGGGCATGGTGGTGCAAACCTGTAATCCTGGCACTCAGAAGGCTGAGGCAGGAGGGTCACCAGTAGTTTGAGACTAGCTTGGGCTATCTAGCATGATTCTTTCTCAAAAACCAAATCAACAAAACTCTGTATTTCTTATTGCACACATACATTAAGTTTCACAAGGAATTATCTGATTACGTTTCACTGGAATTATCGGATTGAAATTAACTAAGATTTAAATTCTGTACCAAAAGCTAGAGTGTTCACTCATTAAAAGAAAAGTATTTTCAGCCACCTCTTTGGATCCACTTTCTAAAGTTGGTTCTATATTTACAATCCTATTTTCAGGAAAAAACCCTAATATTTATCATACTTCCATCTCCTACCCCACCCATTAAAAAAACAAACCCTACAGTAAACAGCGCAAACTGTCACATAGCCGTAGAGGCTGAGGCCGGAAGGTCTGGGCCCCGCACGCTTCCCAGCCCTGGTCGAGCTCCAGAGCCGGAGCCCCGGGGTGGAAACTGAGAGCTCCATATCCCAGGGGCTCAGGGCAGGGAGCTGGTTAGGAAAGTAGACTCGACACCCACACTGCCTGCAGAGCCTGCAGGGAGGTAATCCTGAGCTGCTCTCTCCAACTGCTCCCTGCCCAGCCCACAGCTCCACAGCCTCTCAAGGGGCTGAGGGATGAGGAAGGGGTCCAGGCACACCTTCCTGTCTTTGTGTTGTTTGTTTTGAGACACGATCTCACCGTGTACCCCAGGCTGGCCCAGAACTCACAGCCATCCTCCTGCCTCAGCCTCCCAGGGGGCCGGATCACAGGCATGTGCCACCATCCCGGCCTCCTTTCTAGTTCTCAGAGAGGCATCTGGGGTGTAGCTGTCGGTGAATACCCCAAGATGACCAAGCACATTAACACTTCCTCGGCCACAGCTCTCAGTGACTGCTGTCTCCAAATCCACAGTGAGATCAAACAACACTTCAGGCAAGAGACAGCTGAGGATGATGCAAATTAATGCTGAAATCAGCTCTACCATGGAAAGGGCCTCCTGTCTGGTGCCTGGACAATGCAGTTATTATTGCAGGGCCAGACTTCCACTCGGGGCACTGCAGCCTGAGGCTCTGCATGCAGAGCCGGCAGAGAGAGGAGGAGCACGCGGTGCCCACAAAGCTCCCCTGCCGACAGCAGCCTCGGACTAAGACAAGGAGCCCTCAGCACGGAGTTGGAATGTGGGAGGCTGAGACCACGGACAGCTTTGCTGAGGCTGCCCATGCTGCTGCTCGGATGCCACTCCGCGCACCTGGCCAGTGGACAACAGGATTCCGGCTAACCTAGGCCGAAGCAGGCCAAAGCAGGCCAAAGCAGGTCATGCATCCCAGCACAGGCACAGGAGGCCCAAAGCCAGTCCGACTAGGTGGGCGGCCAGCACACTCTCAGGCTGCGACCCTTTTGATATTTCACTGCTTACTGGGGAAGAGGAGAGCTGTGGGTGCCCACAGAGCTGGGCATGGTGGTGTATACCTGTCCTAGGAGGCTGAGGCAGGAGGGTTGCTGCTAGTTCAAGGCCAGCCTGAGATCCATAGCAAGCTCATCTCAAAAAAACAGCAAAGATAAAGAACACACTGCCTGGCACTTGTGATCGGCACCAGTGTGTGCCATGCAAAGGTATTCTGGGACTGCTTGCTCCTAAACCTCTTTCCCAATCTGCAGCCCCAGCTATAAATGTTCACAGATAGCGCCACCTTCTGGCTCTGTTTATGCATCATCTACCTAACGTACTGCACTATTATCATCATTAAGTATTATTATACTACCTCAGCTTTTGGAGACAGAGTTGTTATGTAGCCCAGGGTTATGTTATGTAGACAGGGTTGTTACGTAGCCTCAAACTCAAAGCGACCCTCCTGCCTCAGCCTCCCAAGGCTGGGGTTACAGGCGTGAGCCACCAGGCCTGGCGGTCTTCTGCTTCTCCAGTCAATAAAGCTCCATTTTGCCCCACGCTGCGGGGGATCCTTTCCGAAGCGGTGCTGAGGGTACAAGGCCGAGAAGCGCAGCCCCACGGTGGGGCCACCATCACCTAGTGAGGGTGCTCGGGCTGCATGGACTGGAGCCCGGAGGCACCGACTGGGGGGCCAAGGGAACCAGCAGCGCACGGCAGACATGCAGGCCTAACACCCGTGTAAGGCACATGTGAGGTGTACATAAATCACAGCGCAAAATAAAGGATAAGAAATAGGAACCGAGAGATCTGCACGTGGGAAGAGAACCAAGAGATAGAGGAACAGCGGGGATGTAAGGAAAGAACTGGATGCTCTATGTGCCGGCGCCAGCTTCCCACGACAGACAGGATCACGGCACACTGCAACTGTACTAACAAAACTTAAAATTAAAAAACAACGGCCAGGCGTGGTGGCACACACCTGAAACCCTAGCACCTGGGAGGCTGAGGCCGGAGGATCGCTTCGAGTTTGAGGCCAGTCTGGGCTGTGCTCTCTGGAGGAGGTGGCAGGAGTGCCTGTGACCCTGATTTGCTTCTGTCCCCTTTATATGCAAGGAAAAGAAACACCAGGGGAAGACAAAAACAGGGCACTTTGTGTAGCTGCCACCAGTGCGCACCCCGTGCTTGTCCTGGCTGCCGCTCAGGGGGTCCCCGTAGCCCTGCACCCGGCAGGAGTGGGCCACACGGGACCTCGGCTGCACCACAGGCTCCACGTGGATTCCAGGTGGTTTTGGTTTTCTCTGAGAACCCTGCATCTGACAAAGGCTGGGTGATCGGCATGAATTATTACTAGAAATATGACACAAATGTCCCAACTCACTGGCTGACCTCCTCACCTCCAGCAGAAGGCTCTTTTGTTTTTGAGCCAAGTCTCACTACAGAGCCCAGGCTGCCCTCAGATTTGACATGACCCTCCTGTCTCAGCCTCCAAGTGCTTCCTGGGATTCCGAGCCTGCCACCCCACACTGGCTCAAAGGCTTTCTGTACTGGAGCCAGGAAGATGATGGAGACCTTGCTCTCCTCCTGCCCCAGGGCGGCTCAGGCCACCCAAGTCTCACACCCACCTCGGGAAGGCAAGGGCACCTGGGGTCGGGTGAGCCACGCCTGCCAGTCCCGCAGGGCAGGGCGCGGGAGAGGCCACACTCGCTCCCACACACGCACCTGGCGGCCAGCCACTGCCGCTCCACCAGCAGCTGCGCGCGGTCGATGCGGACATTCCGTGCATAGTGCAGCCTCTTGGGCAGGTCCGGGCTCAGGTAGGGCTTGAAGTGCTGGTCGGGTCTTCGGCACTGCAGAAAAGGTAGAAATTTCCCCGGTGAAACATCAGGGACTCAAAGGAACCCTAAAACTTCACCTTGAAGCCAGGCATGGTGGCTGTAATCCCCAGCACTCGGGAGGCTGAAGCAGGAGGATCCCTGAGAGTTTCAGACCAGCCTGGGCTACAAAGCGAGCTCAAGGCCAGCCTGACCTGCAGAGAAAGGACTTGTCTCAAAAAGAAAAACAGAACAAAACAAACTTCACCTTGAGATAATTTTCTGAGCACTTAAAGTAAGCTGATTTCAGCTCAGCTGATAAAACAGAAATTATTATATGTAGTACAAGCAGGCTAAGATTCGCTGATTCCATTACTTGGATGGCTACAATAATTAGATTGGAAGTAAAATTTTATTTAAATTAGGACTGGGGGCAACCCACTCAGAACCCCTTCTATCTCTCTCAGATATAAGCTTTCTTTCAAGTAAATATATTCTACTCTTTAAAAAAGAGGTGTAGTGGCTCATGCCTGTAATCTCTGCAGTCTGGAGGCTGAGGCAGGAGGATCATTGTGAGTTCGAGACCAGCCTGGGCTACACAGTGAGCTCAAGGCCAGCCTAAACTGCACAGTGAGACCCTGTCTCAAAAAGACACACACAAAAAAATCATGAGCAGGTGTTTGCTGGTTTACTCCTCAACATACATCTGAAGCCGCTGTAAACCTCCCCTTTTACTTGGCCAAAAATCAGTACACCTGGAGTTAGACTACAAACACAACTGTGCATCTAAATTATATATGAAAACATAAAACATTAATAAATATGGTAAAAATAATATTAAAAATCAGTTTCATTGACCAAAAATCCCTCCCCAACTGACTCCATTTATGTTAAGAAATCATTGGTTATATATATTAAATACACATATTTCACTGAAGAGAAACATTTGCACTGGTACTGTTCGGACAATTGAATGCAGATGTCTTGTGCTCGGGGTGAATGATTTGGGGGTGGTAATGCACAATGTATGCACCATTGTTGCCCCTGATTGATGTGTTTTGAAATTTTATTTTTTCTTTGAAATAAAATGGATTTTTTTAAAAAAGAAATTATTGGTTTAGTTTTCAAATCAACAGCTTTTGAAACCATTTTCCTACTTGAAAAATTCATGGATTCATCACAAATTACAGTAAAAAAAATTGAGAGTGGGGTAGTCTGAAACAGGGATTCCCTATGTAATCCTGGTTGGGCTTGAACTCACTCTGTGGCCCAAGCTAGCCTCGAACTCACCGGCGATCCCCCTGCCTCAGCCTCCTAACCGCTAGGATACAGCCTGCACCACCACATCTGGTTAACGGTCTATAAAGTTTGTTTCTGTGATAACCAGTGCTGTAAACATAGAGCATGTTAGTCCTGTACAGTTGCAAACTACACTGTTATCTATTGATGGAAAAGAAAACGCGGCTCTGAGAAACAGTTCTAGGCAGACACGGCCTCTCCTGAGCTCTGAGAACCAAAGGAAAAGAACAACCGTACAGTAACGTGACAAAGCGAGACTTCTCTACTTCAGTCCCTCGTGTATTTCTGGAAAGGCCAGTGTCTCACCTGTGTTAGAAACCCAGGCACCATTACCTCACACGCAATTTATAGCAGAAAAGTGTGACATGCTTTACAAACCACACTTAAAGGAAGTGTGGCCAATGGGAGACGGAGGGCAGTTACAGGAAGGGAAGTCGTGGCTGTGTGCAGACCTCCACCAGCTTTTCTCTTGCCCGTCTTGATGTTTCTGACTTCCGACTTTGCCCTTCCGCTTTCCCTTCCATCCCTCCTGAGCCCATATTTGTGGGACTTCCAGGCGCTGAGCCCACAGCTCCCCTAGGGGGAAGGCAACCGAAGGGGCCCCAGGACAATGCTGTCCGCCTGGGGGTGCAGCTGAAGAAGAACCAGAGGAAACTGGGGTGCAGTGGCAAGGGCCGAATAAGTGCGAGACCACTGTGTGCACTTGGGAAATGACATGAAGAAAGCAGAGTTGAGCTATAATTTTGGTCACATCTCAGGAGGCTGAGGCAGGAAGACTGCCAAAAATTTGAGCCAGCTTGGGATACAGGGTGAGTTCAAGGCCAGCCTGAACTACACATCAAGACCCCGTCTCAAACCCCCCCCCCCAAGAAAGACAAATTAAAAATAAATAAATACAAGGCCGGACTGTAGCCCAGCATGAAGTCCCCAACTACTCACCTGACCCAGAAAAAGTAGCTGTAATTATACTAAGAGGAAAGTCTTTTTTTTTTTTTTACTTGTTTGAAAAGATCGCTAAGCGTCTGTGACTGGCTGGGGTGCACTGTAATGCTGGCCAGCACAATGAGTCCCAAAGGGACTCTGCCCGCCACAGTCAGCGCCTCTGTTCCCAGCCGCTCGCCCTGCTGGTGTCAAATCTGACAGGAACACCCGGGGTGAAACTGACTGCAGTGCACGTGACAGAGTTCCCTAAGAGGCCCCGACTCAGAGTCGCATCCCAGACTCTCTGGGAACCCGGAGGAAGGTCACCCTGCTCCCTGGGATGTGTGACAAAGGGGACTGAGATACTTACACTCAGGTTTCTGACAATTTCTTCCGAGTCAACTGTTGAGAAGGAAAAGGCAGAAATCACATTACAAAGTGAAACCTGACAGCTGCAGAACCTGGGAATAGTGGAGGAGAGCTTCACAACGCTTTATATGACAAAAGCAAAGCCAACAAAGAACCACCTTAGCATTTCAGGAGAGAGTGCAAGGTACTGTGTGCTGGGCACGTGCCTCTAACTCCAGCTACTCAGGAGGCTGAGGCAGGAGGACTGCAAGTTTCAAGCCAGCCAAGCAACTTATCAAGACCCTAGCTCAAAATAAATATATAAATTAAAAGGGCAGGAGCTGCAGGTCAGCAGTAGAGCACTGGGTTCGATTCCCAACACCACAAAGGAAGGAAAAGAGTAGCGAACTCCAACAGTACAGCAAACAGCACTGCGCTAGACACTAGGGCTGGGACTAGCATTGCTTCTGTGGTCTTCACAGAAAGTCAGAAGACAGCCTGGTAACCTGCATGCCCTCAGGATCAGAGAGCTCCCCCGGCCCCTTCACACGGGGCCTCCGTACTCACAGGTGTAAAAGTCCTGAGGTATATTCCGAGCCCGGATGCGGGGAGCCGGCCCCGTATACATGTAGAAGTTTATTTGGGAAAAGTAATCCGTCATGTACTCCACCTTGTCACAGTAGGTCTGGTCCATTCCTGAATGGAAAAAGAGATAGAAACAGGAAGGAGAGCCAGGCATGGTGGTGCACACCTGCAATCCCAGCACTCCGGAGGCTGAGGCAGGAGGACTGCTGAGAGTTTGGGGGCAGCTTGGATTGCATAGCAAGATCTTGTCTCAAATAAGAAAAACAATGGGATATTTGATTTGTATATAAGACAAATGATGCATTTTGAAAATAGAATAACATGTACTTTTTTTTAAGACAGGGTCTCACTAGGCAGCCCAGTTGGGCCTCGAACTCGCTGCAATCCTCCTGCTTCAGCCTCTTGAGTTGCTGGGAAGAGATGTACTTTTATAAGACATACATCAAGAGAATAAAGATTCAAAAATATTTGTTTAAATGTATATTGTATAAGTTGACTAAGCAGGGTGTAATCCAAAATGTTAGGTAAGACCTTTTTTATTGGCAGATTCCTTGGGCTGCATATAAATTTATTTTTAACAATTTCCTTTTTAATAGTGGCAAAGTGTCACATTTATTAAAGGTAGGAGAAAACAGGCTCCGTAGAGCAAGTTTGGGCCAAGTAAAATGAGGAAAAAAATAATAAAGAAAAATACACCCTACAGCACAGGGTAGGTTACCGTGAAGAGCTGTGAAAGCCTGAGTTTCCTGTAATAAACTGTGCATTAAAAGTTTCATTTTAATTTTAAAGAAAAGGGACAATGTTAGGTGGCACAGCCTCTAATCCCAGCACTGGAAGGCTGAAGCAGGAGGATCTCAGCCAGATTGAAGCCAGCCTGGACTACACAGTGAATCCCAGGCCCGCCTGAGCTAGATAGCAAGACCTCTTCTCAAAAGACCAAAAACGATCTGGTATGGTGGTGCATGTCTATAACCCCAGCACTCAGGAGGCTGAGGCAGGTAGATGGCATGAGTTCAAGGCCAGCCAGGGCTGCACAGTAAATTCAAGACCAGTCTGAACTATACAGTTAGACCTGCTTTAGAACAAAACACAACAAAAACATCAAAAATTGACACAAAATAAATGAAGCAAAGCACACACACTTGTAATCTCAGCACTCTGGGAGGCTGAGACAGGAGGACTGCTTCAAATTAGACACCACCCTGCCCTGTAGAAGGAGACTCTGTCTCATGAAAAACAAATGAACAAACAAAATGACTTTAAAAACCAGCCTACCGGCCGGGCATATAACCCAGTAGCATAGCATCTGTCTGGCAAGCATGAGGTTCTGAGTTCAATTCCTGGAACCAAAAAAACCCAGCATACCATGGTCGGCCAGCACGATCAGGTTGACACAATTGTGCAGGTTCCGCTGCGCCAGCCCTTCCATCAGCATCCCCAAGGCCTCATCCACCAGCAGTAGGGCTTGGATCACCTGTAAGGGGCAGGGCCAGAGGGTGCAGGAGGGTGCCCATCAGCTGTGCCATCCTCTGACCAAGTAGCAGGAGAGCGCATCTCATGGGACCATGAGGCACCAGAAAGCTGAAAGGAGCAGATTCTGCAACCCAGAAATTCCACTCTGGGTGTGTGCTGCAGGGGAGGACCTGGAGTGCCAGTGAGGATGAGGGACAGGGACATGTGTCCCCCAGTGGATGTACAGCTTCTGGTCCTGCAAAAATAAAACACAGCCCACTCCGCGCCTTCTGGGACGCTCTGCCATGGCCTGCGTTTCTTAGCAAGTGCAGGCACAGAAAACAGCAGGGAAGGCTGCTCTAAACAGTGAGCCAGAGACCGGGTTACTTTGTTGCTTATGTTCTTTAAAAGTTTAAATCCTATACTTTATCGTACAGTGCACCGCACTGACTTAAAGCTAAGTAAATGTCACTGATCACTGGACACTTGTCATGGCAATAGACCAGGAAAAATATCTAATCCTCCCCCGCCCCCCGTGCTATTGGAACAAGGACTGCTCTTTCTTTGTGTTCGTGCTATTTTTTTTAACTTAAAGAACTTTATTTTATTGGTACTTAAGATAAACACGGTGATGACATCCATCACAGGGAATCTGTACCTGTGCGTGCTGTAACTTGATTCTTCAGTTCTTTTCCATCCCCTCCCCTTTCTGCAGGCCGTCTTCCCCGGCTTAGTTATAAAGCTTTGTTTCCATTTTCTTTTCTTTTCTCTTCTTTTCCCTTCTTCCCTTACCTCTCTCCCTTCTCACTTGAGCATTTTCTCACCGTTTCCCATTATCTCTTATACATCTGCCCCTTATTTACACTTTCAGTTTCTCACAGTAGAGAAACAATGCACAGGTGTCTGATTTATTTCACTTTAGAGTACAGTCTCAAGGCGCATCCATTTAGCTTAAATGTCTCAAGCTTATTCTCCTTTATGGCAGAATAGTGCTGCATTGTATACCAAAAAAAACACATCTTTTCTACCCCCTCATCAGTTGATGGGCTTTGGGGTGTGGCCAGGATAGGCTCTTACAGCTTGTGCTGCTATAAACACGGGTACAAGACAGGCATGATGGCTCATGCCTGTAATCCCAGCACTCTGGGAAGCTGATTGCGAGTTCGAGACCAGCCTGGGCTACAAAGTGAGCTCAAGGCCAGTCTGCACCGCATAGAGAGACCCTGTCTCAAAAAGGCAAAAAACAAAACAAAACAAAATATGGGTGCGCCTGTGTCACTGTGCTATGATGCTTTTCATTCTTTTGGGAAGACACCCAAGGGGAATAGCTAAGTTGAATGGGAACTCTAGTCCTAGTTTTTTGAGGCATCTCCACATGACTTTCACAGTGACGGCACCAGTCTACACTCCCACCAACAGTGCTGAAAGGTTCCTTTTTCCCCACAGCCCCTCCAACATTTGATTTGTTGTTGATTTCTTGATGACAGCCATCCTTCCTAGGATGAGGTGGAATCTCAGTGTTGTCTTAATTTGCATCTCTCAAATGACCAGTGATGTTGAACAGTTTTTCCTATACTTTTTGTTTTTATACTTTTTTTTTTTAATCTGAGAAGTTTCTATTCATCTCAGATGCCTTTTTTTTTTTTTTTTTTTTTTTTTTTTTTTTTTTTTTTTTGCGGTACTGGGGATCGAACTCACAGCCGTGTTCTTGCAAGGCAGGCACTTATGCCACTGAGCTAAATCTCCAGCCCTTAGATGCCCATTTTTGCATTGGGTCTTTAAATTTGGAGGGTCTGATTGTTTTAGTTCTTTCTATATAATAGATATCAGTCTTTTGTCTGAGGAACAGATGGCAAATTTTTCCCCATATTGGGTTGTCTCTTCCCTCTGTTGGTGGTTTCTCTTGCTGTGCAGAAGCTTTTTAATAAGATGAGATCCAAGTTGTCAATTCTTTGTGATATTTCTCATGTGATCAGTTTTGTTCAGAAAGATTTGGCCCATTCCAGTGTCTTCGAGAGCTCTACCTATTCTGTATTCCAGCAGACTGTGTTTCTGTTTCAATATTTAGACCTTTGATCCATTTTTAATTTAGTCTAGTGCATGATGAGAGATATGGCTTTAATCTGCATAAGTTTTAATCTTATGCATGTGGGGAAAGCCAGTATTTCCAGCACCATTTATCAAAGAGGCTATCTTTCCTCCAGTGAACATGTTTGGCTCCTTTGTCAAAGATAAGGTGGCTGAGTGTGTTTGGAGTTGTTTCCACATCTTCTAATCTGTTCTACTGATCCTCAGGTGTGGTTTGCTCCAATACCATGCTCATTTTTTGTTTGTTTGTTTGTTTGATACAGGGTCTCACTGTGTAGTTTAGGCTGTCCTTGAACTCATTATGTAACCCAGGCTGGCCTCAAACTCACAAGTAATCTCCCTGCCTCAGTGTTTCCAGAACCATATTGAACGGCAGTGGTGACAGTGCACATCCTTGTCTTGTTCCTGACTTTACAGTGAAAGCTTTCAGTTTTTGCCCATTAAGTATGATGGTGGCCATTGGTTTTTCACTAATGGCTTTTACCAGATTGAGGTAAAGAACATCTATTCCAATTTTCTGTAGGGTTTTTATCATAAATGGGTGCTGGACTTTTCAATGCTTTTTCTGCATCTATTGAGATGATCATGTTCCTTGGCTCTGTCAATGTGGTGGATTACATTTATTGGTTTGCATATGTTGAGCCATCCTTGAATCCCAGGGATGAATCCTATCTGGCCATAGTGTACAATCTTCTTGACGATTTGCTGATTCTGTTTGCCAGGATCTTACTGAGGATTTTTGTGTCTATGTTCGTTAGGGAGATTGACCTGTAGTTCTCTTTTTTGGTTGGATCTTTCTCTGGTTTTGGTATCAGGATAACACTTGCTTCAGGAATGAATTTGGGAGCACTGCTTCCCTTTCAATTTCATGAGAGTTTGAGAAGAAGTAGTATTGAATCTTCTCTAAATTTCTTATAGAATTCAGCAGTGAATCCATCAGAGCTGGGCTTTTCTTTGGTAGTAGGTTTTCAATTACACCTTCAATTTCATAGGTAATATTTATAATTTCTTGCTTCAGCTTTGGTAATTCATATGTGTCTAGGAATCTCCATTTCTTCTGTTTTTCCCATCTTAGTAGAATACAGATTCTCAAAGTAGGTATTGGGGATCTTCTGGATTTCTGCAGGATCTGTCGTGATTTCGCCCTTTTCATTCCTTAGTGCGTGGATTTGAGTCTTTTCTTTTCTTTTGTTGGTAAGATTGATCTAACAGTTTGTCAGTTTTACTGAATCTTTCAAAGAACCAACTCTCCAATTCATTCATTCTTTGTATTCTTAGACTCCATTACATTAGTTTCTGCTTTGATTTTTGTAATTTCCTCCTTCCTAAGATCTTTGGGCTTGATTTGCTCTTCTTTTCCTAGGAGTTCCAAGTTTCAGGTTGTTTATTTGAATTTACTCTCTTTTCCTGAAATGTGAATTCATCACCATATAGTTCCCTCATAGGACTGCTGTCATAGCATCCCACAAGTTCAGATCTATGATACTGGCAGTATCGTTTAATTGTAGAAACTGTCTAACTTCTTTAGTTTGATATGTGACCCACTGGTTATTCAGTGTTATTTAATTTTTATGTTTATGAACTTCTTGTGGCTTCTGCTGTTGTTTTCCAATTGCATTGCATTACCATCTGATAATATGCGTGCGGTAATTTCGGTTTCTTTGCATTATTTAACAGGTTCTCTGAGCTAGTATGTGATTATTTTGGAGAATTTCCCATGTGCAGCCCAAGAGAGTGTGTATTCCAATGTTGTGGGCTGAAACACTCTGTGGTAGATATTACTAAGTCAATCTATTCAAAAGTTAGGTTCAGCTCTGGTATTTCTTTCTTGACTTTTTGTCCAGGTGATCTGGCTACTTGTTGCAGTGGGGCATTAAGGTCCCCAATAACAACTTTGTTAGTGGTTATTTGATTTTTCATGTTCATTAGTATTTGTTTTATGTTGTTGGTGTAGATGTATTGATTGCATACATATTTATGACTGTGTTCCCTCTGTAAAGATGTAGTGACTTTTTTGGTCTCTCTTAATCAGTCTTGGCTTAAAATCCACATTGTCTGCAAATAGAATAACTACCCCTGCTTGTTTCAAGATTCCCATCCCATGGAATATTATTATCCATCCTTTGATTTTTGGTAAATGAATTTCTTTTGGAATTAAATGTGTTTCTTGTATGCTGCATATTGTTATGTCTTGTTTCTGACCCATTCTGCCAGTCTGTGTCTTTCGATTGGTGAATTGAGACCATTAACATTGATGGTTATAGTTGGCATGTACTGACTTTTCCTTGTCATTTTATTTTCCTAATTTGGGTCCCCCCCCCCCATTTAATTGCTTGCTTTGCATGGTAGATTCATTCTATTCAGGGCTTGTGAAGTTGTAGTTCTTGTTATCTCTTTCTAGAATGTCCTTCAAAATATGTTGGAGTGCTGGTCTGGAGGTTATAAATTTCTCCAAATGTTGTTTGTCATGGGAGTATCTCATTTCTCCATCAATTTTGAAAGATAAGTTTTGCAGGGTATATTAATCTGGAGTTGAGGGTGCTTTCTTTTAGGGCTTGAAATACTTTACTCCAAGCTCTCCTTGACTTGAAGGCTTGTGTTGAGAAGCCTGCTGTGATTCTGGTGGGTTTTCCTTTATAGGTGATCTGTTTCTTTTCTCTAACAACTTTCAATGTTTTGTTCTTCTATTGACTTTCTGGAATCTTAATTATTATATGATATTTTTGATCATGACTAATTGGAGTTCTATATAACTCATTTGTCTTTATGTCAAATGCTCTTCCTGATTAGGAAATATCTGTCATTTTCTGAAGCGCCTCCATTTTTTTTCTATCAGTGTCTGTCCTAGAATCACTATCCTTGCCTCTCATTATGATCATCATCTCTTAGTTATCTGAGAAGTTGTCTCTGATTTGATTTCTTCTTGGCTCACTCATCTGCTTTATTTCTGCTCTTAACACTACAGAGTTCAGGTTAGCTGCTTTAGAGCTGTTCCATCTCATTTACTCCTGGGTTTGCATCTGGTGAGCTGGAAGCCTGGGGTTGCATCTTCCTTAATGTCTTCTCATTTTTTAATTTTTTTAGTTTAATTCCTGGGGTGATGCTCATAAACTGCTTTTGGCAGTCAGCTTTATTGCTAGTCTTTAGAACCCTTAGGAAACAACTATTTCTCAGAGATGTTTTCCAGGGGTAGCTGGCTTTTGAGCTTGAGTCTGTCGGAGACCTCCTTGGTTTACTGGGGATGAGAAGTCGCTTCCTGCTTGACCTCACCTTTGGTTCTTTGGCACAAGCTTATAGCATTTTTTTGTGACTCTTAGGTAATCTCAGTCTTTTCATTCCAGGAAGAACAAATGATTAGAACATTACAGCACTTAGTTAAAGCAGCACAGTCAGGAACAGCAACAGCATCAGACATAGCCTAGGAACTGACACTGTGGAACTGTTAGGCTGTCTCCCTTAGCCATGTGAACTCCATGTGTGATTAAATAAGAAAATCTGAACAACCCAGAAGGTTGCAACAAAGGCCCTCAATATGCCAATTTTATACTCAAGAGAAAATTTAAAATGGGTTGGGGGAAAAGATAGAGAAGAAGAGGGAGAGTGTAGAACCAAGGCTGGAGGACAAAGGCAGATTGCACAAACTGCGAAACTGGTGAGGAGACAGGAGGAAAACAGAAGAAAAAATAAAAACAAGAACAGAACAACAGCAACAAAAACTAGCTAATGAAGAAAGTAACATTTAAACTCACTCCAACAATAACAGGGCCTGGGAGGAGCCTAACACAGCGTGTAGCAGTCACGATCTACATCCGATTATAAATGGGCCATTAGCACAGTGAGTCGGCACACGCTGTACCTGTGCACATATGTACACAAGAATGTAGTCTGTGTGTATGTATTTATTAGGACCGGGCCTCATCATGTAGTCCAGGCTGACCTTGAACTTAGTATACAACCTAGGCTATCCTGGAACTCACAGCGACCCTCCTGCCTCAGCCTCCTGATTGCTAGGATTACAAGTGTGCATCTCCATACCCAGCCACATACAGTGTTTGGTGTTGAAATTTTGAATGCATGATTCAACAGTGCCACATTGGAATGTTCAGTGTTTATCAAGTAAGTGTTTAATCAAAGGAGCTGATCTGCGCTAAGGCCTTTTAGAGAATTGTGACTATTCCAGAGTTAAAATTTTAACTCTTCTGAGACTTTCACTATTTGAATAAGCATGCATTCATCAAACACACTTGTGCTCAGTAGGAAGTGCACCATCTTGGCTTGTGGGTTATGGGTGAATGCATTCCCATCTTCTTACCCCAGCGCTGACTGGTCCATTGCTGTGGCCCGCTGAGTCGGGCTCCTCCACGTAGATGGTGTAGAAGCTGGGTCTGGGGGAACCAAAACAGAGATGCAGGGCTGAGAGGGGGCACGCATTGCGGACCTGCTGCCACTGCCCTCTTCCTCCTCCTCTCCCTGAGCCTGGCGGGCATGGGGACAGCGCCAGGTGCCTCATTCTGGGCTCCCACCAAGCTCCCACAGCTGCCACCTGTGGTGGGCCCATACTGTGGGGTTCTGAAAGCCCTGGCTGCAAGCTAGTCTAGGACACTTGCTAGGAGCATTTCCAGGATCTGTGGTGTCACCCAGCGCTCCCTCCATGGCCCTCTCGCTCCTGAAGCCTCTGTAGTGACAGTCGGTGCCTCCGTGACTCTGCCTCACCCTGGGGTGCAGCCTCCCCTCTCCTGCACTAGCTCTGCCTCTGTGGTTACTAATGTCAACTGTCTCCTCAAGAGCAAACAGCTCTCAGGAGTAACTCTTGAAAAGTGCCCACTAAAAGCCAATTATATACCCTTAATCCCAGCCCTTGGGACACTGAGTCAGGAAGAGCTCCGGGACACAGAGGCCACCTTGGGCTACCCAGTGAATTCAAGCCTTAATTACATAGAGATCCCATCTCAAAAATCAAAGAGGCAATGCCAAGTTGTTTTTCAAGAACTTTCATGGGCGGCTAGGAAGTGTGGGTCAGCAGGATAGAGCTCTATTCCTGGCATACACAAGGCCCTGAGTTCGATTCCCAGCACAACAAAAGGACAAAAAAAAGCATTTCTGACTGGCCTCTGTCCCGCTACACAAGACCTCAGCCCGGGAGCTGCAGATGTTACCTCTCAGCCTTGGGCAGGTCCAGCCACTTCAGCAGTGTGGTGATCCTCTCCTCATAAGGGATGGAGCTGAGAAGAAGCATGAAACACCGTTAAGAGGTAATTGAATGGAAACTAATTCCGTCCGTTCCTCTCCAGGCAGTGCAGACGCCACATGGGTCTCTGTGGGCTCAGCCCTGCACAGGGTGCAGTGCATGGCTTTGTACCTTCTCGCGTTCAGAGCGCTGGGCCTCAGCCTCAGCGAAGGGTGGTGAGCTGTTTTCTGCTCAGTTTACTTGGTCTATTTCTCCCCTGCTCATTTACAAACCTCCAGCACCTACTGCCAAACACCCAGGCTTGTTTGAAACCGAATCACCAGTGTGCAAACGAAAGATTACAGCTCAGCAGAGGCAGGCAAGCAGCAAACAGCACACAGATGTGAAAATTCTAGTGTGTTGCCAGGTGACTGGTGCTAGAGAAAACAGAAAACCCATCGGCCTGGGTGCCGGAGTGCACACCCATGATTCCCACACTCAGGATGCTGAGACGGGAGGATTGCCATGGATTCTAGGCCAGCCTGGGCTACACAGCGGGAGGCTGCCTCACCAAACCGAAACACCAAGGCCTAACCGCTTGCGCCTAGACGGAGCCTCATCTGCAAGTGCTTGCCTGCCTACCCATTGTAATTCTTGTAGAAGGTAGGAAAGGAGTCATTGATCCGCACGTCTGATCCAGGCCAGAAGTAAGAGGCAGTCTTCAACCCTTGGTACTTGGCTGTCAGCCAGATCTGGGGGGAGGGAAAACAGGTTAAGCAGAAAGAGTGGGGGAATCAATGTTCATGTCATGGTGCAAGCTACCAGGAACAAAGATTTTGGTTGTAAAATTTGTTGTAATTATTACAATTTGTTCATGGTGGTTAAAATGTATAATTAGTCAAATATCTTCCTCCAAAATACAAAAGCATAGGGAAAACAATAAAAACAAAGTTCATTTTTTTTCAAATTGATAAAATTATACAGTTTTCCTTTCTCTGTAAAAGAATTACAGTCGGGCACGGTGGTGCATCTCTATAATCACAGCGTACTAGGAGGCTGAGGCAGGAGGAATGCAAGTTGGAGGCCAGACTGGGCAACTTAGCAACCTAGTAAGACTATGTCTCAAAAGAGAAATACATACATATATGTATAAGTGCGCTAAATGATTAAAATAAATTACAAAACAAATTGAGGGGAAGATTCATCTTTCTGTGTTCCTTTTTGTTTGTTGGTATGTTTCTTTTGAGACAGAGTCTTATTAGATAGCCCAGGCTGGCCTTGAACTCACAGCAATCCTCCTGCCTCAGCCTTCCCAGTACTGGGATTACAGGTGTACCCCACATGTCCAGGTCAAATTGATCCATTTATAACACATCACCCAAGTTTCACACAAGACTATTTGGATGACCCATCATGAATGTCTTAAAAAATTCAAATTTTAGGAGCTGGGGATTTAGCTCAGCAGCATAAACGCCTGCCTTGCAAGCAGGCAGTCGTGAGTTCGATCCCCGGTACTGATAAAAAGGAAAAAGACAAAAAAAAAAAAAAAAGAAAGAAAGAAAAAATTCAAATTTTAGTGCTAAATAGTAGTGAAACAGCCTCACACCCCAGCCCTTGGCAACCAAAGTGGGGGCCACTCACCGGCTGTCCACCCCACCATTTAGGGTTGTTCTTCTCTGTTGAAGACAGTGAGAAATTCTTGTTGAAAGTCACATCATACATGTTGTTGTCAATGATGCCATGGGATTCTGGATATAGCCCCTAAATGTGAGTTTCAAAAGAGATTAAGACAAAGTAACTTACTGGCAAAACATACACTGAAGTTACAGTAGTGTGAGCTCCATATCCATATCTAATAAGGGTGGTGTACATCTACCCACATAAAACACCAGGACCTGGATCCAAAGTTCAGGAGCTACAGAGAGAGGCAGACAGATATCTGTATTGCTGGTGTGTTTATAAATTAACTGTGGGCACTCAGTAATTGTTACAAAAGTCTCCACATTACCATAATGATTGCCACTGTTTATATTAGCCATAACTACAAAAATGTATTAGGTAGAAGCCTTTATTTATTTATTTTCTTTTTTAGTTTGTTGAGCCAGAGTCTCACTATGTATTCCAGCCAGGCTGGCCTTGAACTTACTATGTAGCCCAACCTGGCCTCAAATAGATGGCAATTCTGCCTCAGTCTTCCAAGTGTTGGGATTACAAGTGTATACCGCCACATCTGGCTGAGATTATTGAGTTTGTTAAATTATTCCATTGATGGGTTCATTTATAAAAAAGAAATCTTTATCAGGTCAAATAATCATAAAAATATTAGGAAAGAACAAAACTTTCCATGCCAAAGTTTACTTCATGAATAGCCTACTGTTCCCAGCAGTTCTGTTAAACCAAAGGTATTTCTCAGGGCAAGGCTTATCTTGTTTGCTCACACATGTGAATGCTAGGACATTCGTTCTTGTTAAGGCCTCACATCCTTCTATTGACCTCATAGGACCCAGGCCTTCCTGGCCTGAATTAAGCCATCAGCCAATACCATGCAACCTCGTCTATGAGACACAATCACTTCCTGTCTGGCTCTCTGAGCGACATAGCCACTTCCTGCGAAGCCACTTCCTGTCTGTGAACCGTTGGTCTCCCCATGGGGCAGACCACTCACCGTGACGATGGTGTAATGGTTTGGGAATGTCTTGGTAGGATACATAGATCTCATGTATTTTGAATGAATTCCACATGTTTCTGCAACAAAACAGGGTGATAAATTAGAAAAAGTTTTTTTCTTCCCCTGCAGTATTTTGGATAACTAAAACTCTGAACGCGAAAGCTTTCCAGAAGAACAGAAAACTAACAAGTGTGGATCAAAAATGCAAGGAAGTTGAAATTCTGACCCCTCACCTTCTTCCCCTCCAAGGAAGGTCAGTTTTTAGGAGAGGAGGGTGCCCAGTCAAAGTCTATAAATGTTTTCTGTAGAGCCGGATAATACATGTGTTGTATCTTAGCACCCACAGAGGCAAACAAATACGCATGTCTGTGTTCTGATAAAACTTTATTGACAGACAGGAAATGTGAATTCATATAATTTTCACTCCTTGCAAGACATTCTTTTTTAAACCATTCAAAACATACAGCAAAAGCTACTATGCGGCCAGCTGTGCAAAATCAAGCAGAACGGGCAGGATCTGGCCTGTGTATGAAGCATAGAAAACCACAAAAACCATCGAAACTGACCAGGAAACCCAAACTGGTTTGACTTCTACAACCGCATGAGCTACGTCACAGCCATGTTTACAAAGCGAGCACAGCTCCCTGCTTTCTGTTTGCAGCTCAGTTCCCATTCGGTCTCCGAGCCACCTATAACTTGTTGTGCACAAAGTCTGGCATTTGTCCTGCACTCACCGTTCTGCTGTTTTCCACCAGGGCCCTGACCTTCCTGCAGGAGGACAGAGCTCCTGGGGCACATGACTGTCTCCTCTGCCACCATACAGGACAAGAAATTCCCCATACCCAAATCTTAGCGCCTCTGACTTGGAAAGAAAGCTTCCCTGTTACAAATTCTACTTTACTTAAAATAAAAAGTGACACTAATTGCTGGCCAAAATGTCACAAGCTTTGCAGCTGGAAACAATAAATGTTTTCAGACAGAGGCAGGGTTGGTCTGCTTCCCAGCCCCTGTTCAGTTTCCAGTATGTTCCGGGAACTGCCTCCTTGGGGACCCTCCAGGCCCCGGACAAGCACACAACTCAGGGCCCTCTGAGGGGAGGCAGAGGAGAGAGAGTCCCACAGTCTTTTTCTGTTTCGTGTTTTGAGACAGGGTCTCGCTTTGTAGTGCAGGTTGGCTTTGAACTCACTATGTAGCCCAGGTTGGCCTCCAATTTGGGGTGATCCTCCTGCTTCAGCCTTCCAAGAGCTCAAGTGTGCCCCTGATACCTGACAAAACAATCTACATTTTTAACAAGTACCCCAAATGATTCAGATACACTTAAGTGTAAAAATTACTCAGACTTGGTTCACAAGAGATAATTTAAAATTAAACTACCCTTTATTTTTCTTTTTGAGTCAAAGACATTTATAAATAATTCACGTCCTCAGCAAAAACTCACGATTGCTAAGAGATCATGTAAAGAAAAGCTGTCTTGAGGGCCCACACTCTTGTCTTTGGCTATCCATCTTTGAAATTCTATCCAGTAAATCTCTTTATGCATCTAACCTACATGTTCTAAGAATTACCTGCACAGTGAGGCTTGTGTCTCCAGATCCCCTCTGCCCGGGCACCTCGAGCCAAGCTTTCTCACATACTGCAGGACAGACTGGTACTGAGCCACAGTGCAGGGGACTGGCCTTGGTGGCACCCTGAGGAAGCCATCTCTGCAGTCATACAGGTCAGTGGGCCCTAATCCCTTTAGACAAAGGAGATCCTCCCCACTGCTCTTGTGTATCATTTTATTTTATTTGTGTGTTTTCTGTATTGGTCTCACTAGGTAGTCCAGATGGGAGCCTCGAAGGCTGCACGACACCTCTGGCCCCCATGTTTTGGCTTCTCTTCTTCTAGATCCCATGCCCCAAGTCCCTTAGGGACCCTGGGTTCTTATCCTCCACCCAGAAGATGGGGAAAAGCCCAGAAACCTGGCCCTGGGAGACAGAGTTAAAGGTCTGAGAGATCGCTTCTAGGTAAAGCATCTTAGATCACCCACATTAAGTCAAAAACAAAAACAAACAAGTAAAAAATCCAAACTGGATCTATAAAAATGATCGTGTGATTCTTACTTTTGGCTTTATGATATGGTGGATTACATTTATTGATTTATGTATGTTGAACCATCCTTGCATGCCTCGGATGAATCATACTTGGTCATGGTGTATAATCTTCTTGATGATTTGCTGCATCATATTTCCCAACACTCAGGAGGCTGAGGCAGGAGGGTCATCAGGAGTTTAAAGTCAAGTTGTACTACATAGTTCAAGGTCAGTCTGAACTGGTAAAACTTTGTTTCCAAACAAACAAGCAAAAAGATAGCAAGAGAGGGGAAAAAAGGAACAAACAACTATAAAGCAAACTAAACAACAAAATGGCAATCGGAAATCATTTCATATTAATAATCACATTAATTGTAAAGTGATTAAAATACCCAATAAAAGGACAGAGTATAGCTGGATTACAGAACAACATCCAATAGCCAGGAAAAGTGGTGCGAATCTATAATCCCAGCACCCTGGAGGCTGAGGCAGGAGGATCACCGAGACTTCAAGGCCAGCCTGGGCTACATGGCCCTTGTCTCAAAAAGCAAACATACAATATAAAAACAGAACAAAATCCAAGATTCTGCAGCAACAGAGACTCTGCTGAAATTTAAGAGCCCATGGGCTAAGTGCAGCCATGGAAGAGGAGGCTCCATCACACAGCATCCAAAAGGAAGCAGGGGCAGATAAACTTTGATGTAAGAGAACAGACTTTCAAAGACTCGCAAAATAGATCAAGGAGGACACCGTACAACAGCAGCAGTGTGAATCCACCAGGAGGTACAACGACTATAAATCTTTACCGTGTATGCAGCCCAAATCAGAGCCCCTGAGCACATAAAGATTCCAGATCAGAAGGGAAAGGGCCAGCAGGAGAGTTGGGGATCCTGCTTCCCATAACAGAGAGGAGCCAGACAGCAAGTCAGGGAGGAAGCATGGACCTGCTAGGCGGGCTGATGCAGACCTGCAACCCAGCACCCAGGAAGCTGAAGCAGGAAGACCACAAGTTCAAGCCCAAGGGTGGAAATTTAACAACTTAGTCTCAAGATAAAAAATATAAAAGGAGAACAGGGAAGACGTTGATCAACAACAACAAAACCCCAAAACAACGACAAACAGTAGACAGGGAATAGAGTACCAATGCCATACGTAAGAAAAATCAACTACCCCGGCCCACACGATTTTCCCACTTACACCTGGACGGTGACATAACAGGCAGGTCTTCAGAAGATCACTCTTTTGTAAAAGGAAGGGGAAGAGAGAGGAGGGAGGAAAAGGGAACCAGAAGGGGATGAAAACAGAACCACCGCGCGCTGCAAATGGACTGACTCCTGCAGGGCCTGTGATCGCTGTGTACTGTAAATATGTACCAAAAAAGCAATAAAATACATCCTTTAAGCAGACTGGAGTCATAGGAGACATCTTCTCTAACTACAAGCAATTGAAACCAGAAATCTATATATTAGAAAGACAACTGGGAAATTTACAAATATGTGGAAATGAACACAAATGAACCAATGCCACAAAAGAAGAAATCAAAAGGGAAGTGTAAAAAACATTTTGAGATAAGACAAATAAAGGTGAAAATGCAATGTAGCAAAATGTACAAAGACAACAAAAGTTATTCTAAATTGTAAAAGTGCCTCAATTTACAAAGAAGAAGGATTTCAAATAAACAACTCAGCTAACTACAAAGAAGGGCTGGGCAAACTGAATTCAACAGAACAGCAGAACTACCACATATGACAATGGAGTGGGATTCATGCGAAGATGGTCTAACCTAGGTAAATCAGTTACTGCAGTACACCTCATTAACAGAACGGAGAGTAAAAATCATAACTATCTCACTAGATGCAGAAAAGCCTTTGATAAAATTCATGTTCATGTGAAGGCTCTCAACATTCTAGGAATAGAGGGAAATTTCCTTAACATGTAAAAGTCCATGACTGCCATCCGTCAGCCAGCATCCTACTTGGTTATAAACAGAAAGCTTCCTGCTAAGATCAGAAATGAGGCAAAATGTTCAGCCTCTCCACACCTACGAAACAGAGTCTAAAGTCAGCCTGCATTTCACAGCAAGGCCCTGTCTCAGGAAACAAAGACGAAAGGAGGAGAAACAGGAAAGCCCTTCCCATGATCCAGCCGGGACTTGGGTTGGAGACAAGAAGCGCCAACCTCAGCCCCCACCCCCCTACCAAGGGGCCAGCAGAGTCAGAGGAACACAGGCGGAGCTGATGGCAACTGAGGTACAAAAACAGCTTAATGCTTGTACTGTTTGATTGACTTTGCAAATCTGAGCATCTATTTGGAGGATGACAATATGCAATGTAGCCACTATGGGAGATTTCCTTCTGTCTTGTTCTTGAAATCCAATGTTATCCTCACTACTTTGTTTTGCTCCACTTTATTGCTTTGTTTTATTCAATGTTTTGTTTTTATTGGTTCTATTGTGTTGTTTCCTTTCATTTTATTATGTCTGATGGTGTGGGCAGCTACTCTAAAAGATGACAAGAGGCATTATGGTAGCAATGGTTAATTTTCTATTATCCGGTTTTGAAGTCCGGTATCACTTTCACTGTTTGGTTTTGATTGGCTTTATTCTATTTTGTTTAGTTTTATTCTTTTAAAATAAAAAAATTAAAAATAATTTAAAAAAGAAATCCTGTAAAGTTGCAGGATACAGAATTAACATGAAAATCAGTTGTTTGTTTCTATGCACTGGATAATTTAGGAGAACAGTATCATTGGTAACACTATGAAAAAGAATAAAATTCTTAGGAGTAAATTTTACTATGAAAGTGAAAGACTTGTCCACTGAAAACTGAGAAATGCTGAGGAAACAAATTGAAGAAGAAAATAAATGGAAGGACATTTAGCGCTCATGGGCTGAAAGACATGTTGTTAAAATGTTCATCCCACCCAAAGCTATCCACAGATTCATTACAACCCTGTCAAACTCATGAGGATACTTTTTACAGAAGTAGAAAAAAATTCATATGGAAGCACAAAGACCTCAAATAGCCAGAACAATCTAGGATTTCAAAATACACTTCAAAGCTACAGTAGTTGAAACACTATGGTCCAGTATGGCATAGAGACAGCTGCACAGATTGGTGAGCTCAAACGCCCAGAAGTGAAGCCAGGCAGATGCTATCAGCTGGCCCCCAGGGAGGGTGTGGAGAGAATACAAACGGGGAACCAGGTGTCTCAACAAGTGGCCGGTTAGAAAACTTCAAGTTCCCACAGAGAAGAACAAACGCAAACCTTTATCTCACACAGACTGTAACTGTGGGACACCTGGAAGGAAAAGTGGGGGGAAGCTTCACCGGCACTCAGTTTGACCTTGATTTCACAGTGACACAGAGGCAGAGACAGACAAGGAGGGCAAACCAAACCACAGAGTTCCACATGGCAGAGTAATGATCAGCGGGCGGAAACACAGCTCTGGGGCAGGAGAAAATATTTGCAACTCCTACCTAGCAAAGGTTCACAGTGAATATAGACAAGAAATTCTTACAGTGCAATTCTAAAAAACTAATGATCGCCTTTTACAATGGAGAAACCAGGCATAATGAAACGTGCCTGTCCTGTGGTCCCAGCACTCTGGAAGCTGAGGAAGGATGATCGCCATGAGTTTCAGGGCAGCCTGGACTACACAGTGAGTTAAAGACCAGCCTGAACTGCACGGTGAGACCCTGTCTATAAAAAGAAAAAAAGCGGGGCTGGGAATTTAGCTCAGCGGCATAAACACCTGCCTTGCAAGCAGGCAGTCGTGAGTTCGATCCCTGGTACCGATAAAAATGAAAAAGACCAAAAAAAAAAAAGAAAGAAAGAAAAAAAGCAGGGCCACGGGCAAGCACAGTACCTGCCTGGCAAGTGCAAGGTACTGAGTTCGGTTCCCAGTACCAAAAAAAAAATAAAGGCAAGAATTGAAGCAGCCATTTCTGGTGAAGGACAGAGTCACCAGCAGACAGACGAAAAGCTGCATCAGTGACTATGATGAAATGTAAGTCAGAACAGCAGCAAAATCTGTATACGGACATTCACCCCAAAAAAAGTGCTGAAAAGAGTGTGGGGAAACGGGAGCCCTTGTGGAATGCAAAACAGTGCCGCTGCTAAGGAAAACAGCATGGAAGTCGTGCAAAAAATAGCAACTAGCATGGTGGCACACGCCTGTAATCCCAGCACTCAGGAGGCTGAGGCAGGAGGATCTCTGTGAGTGCAAGGTCAGCCTGGACTACATAGGGAGACCCTGGCTCAAAAACAAACAGAAAAATTAAAAGCAGCATGACCATATGATAATACAATGTCACTTCTGGGTAGACACCCAGAAATCAGGATCCCAGAGACACGAGCACCGCTGTGCTCTGCTCACAGTACTGACAGAGGCAAGTACTGACAAACGGGATGCTCTGGGAGGCTGAGGCAGGTGACTGCAAGTTCAAGCCCAGGCTAGGCAATTTAGCAATATAACAAGACCCTGTCTCAAAATAAAAATAAAAAAGAGGTTGAAGAGTAGCTCAATGTGAAGTCCCTGTATCCAGCCCCCAGTTACCTCCAACCTATGTCAGTTTCTTTTTTGGGGCATGGGGGTTGAGACAAGATCTCACAATGTAGTACAGGCTGGCCTCCAATTTACAGCAATCCTCCTGCCTCAACCTCCTTAGTACTGGGGTTGCAGGCACCATGCCCAGCTCCAAATAGTTTAGAGAAACTAAAAATAATAGCAATAATGATGTGGGGTACACATTGATAATTTTCCCCTTTGAAAGAAAGAAATCTTGTAACACGCAGCAACATGGATAAACCTTAGATAAGACACTATACTAAGTGAAAAAAAAAAAACCAAAAACATGAATGCTGCGCGATTCTACTCATATATGGTGCCTAAAACAGTTAAAATCCTGAAAGGACAATGGAGAAGGGTGCTAGCCAGGACCTGGGTGAAATCATTAATCGTAGAAAATTTTGGTTTTGTAAAATGAGCCAAGTTCTCAAGAGCTGCTGTGTAGCCCTGCACGTATAGATAACAAGTCCACGTTGTGCTTTTGCTTAGTTATTGTTTTGCAACAAGGTCTTCCTGCGTAGCCCAGGCGGCCTTGAACTCACAGCCATCCTCCTGCCTCAGCCTCCCGAGTGTCGGGATTACAGGTGCACGGTGCCCATCCTATGCCCGCAGCACAGTCTCTCACCTCGTTTTCCGGGAGCCTGGCTCTAACCCAGGTCGCCTCCCTCTGTCTCCCTGCCCAGTGCCTGGCCTTGGCTCGGCCCCTTCTGTGTCCCCTGCCCTCACTAGACCAAGTCCTTACCTCACTGTGAGCTGCCGGAGAGCAGCGTTCTCAAGCCTCAGTCACTGCAGGTGACCAGATCCTGCAAGCTCTGTGGCCCTAACCAGGCCTGGAGGGACATGAGGGATGCAGGCTGCTTCCGTGAAGTGGCACTGTTTTCACCATCTCAGCCTTAAGCTACCCGACTCCTAACCCCACCTCACACCTGCTCTGACTCGGACCCGGCAGACGTCAGTACTTATGCACAATGCCTTCGAGCATCAAGGGGATGTTTGTCTGACTAATAAAACTATTTTATACACTGGAACCCAGAGAGCTCTCAGTGGTCCAGTATATTTTCATCCGTGTCATTTCCAGTTTTCAGCTGGATGAGAAAGCCTAACAAGTCCCCTTCAGAAAGAATTCAGCTCAGCCCGGCTTGCTCAGTTCCCTCCGGACTTGGGATTTGGCTCCCAAATGGTCAAGACAAGTTTAGATAATTAAGCAAAAACAGAGAGGAGTTAGTGAACTTTCTAAGCCGGTATCAGTCATCGGGAAGTGACAAGGCCTGGATTTGGAAGGTTCTCAAACTCTGCTGAAGACCAGCCCTAGAGGGCAAGGGAAAAGCCAAAGAGAGTGACCCTTGCATTGCAGGGAAAGTACAGTGATTGCCTTTTACAGTCCTGGTAATTTTAGAGCTGGAATTGAAATCGACAGAAGGACACATTTGATCTAGACTCTTTTTGTTGTTGTTTTTGTGGAGATTTTTTTGACATAGGGTATCCCTCTATAGTTCAAACCAGCCTTGAAGTCACAATGATCCTCCTGCCTCAGCTTCCTGTGTGCTGGATCCCAGGTGTGTGCTACCACACCTGGTTTTTATTCTTCGTTTTATGAGAAAACTCAGGCCTAAACTGGGCATGGTGGCACATGCCTGTAATCCCAGCAGTAGGGAGGCTGAGGCAGGAGGACTGCTTCCAGTTCAAGGCCAGCCTGGGCTACAAAGTGAGTTTAAGGCCCCATCTAAACTGAATAGTGAAACCCTGTTGCAAAAAGGCAGCGGAGTAAGAGAGAGAAAAAGAGAAGAAACTCAGGCCCAGAAAAGTCAATCCACTTGCTCAAGGTCAAACAGCTGTTTTTCTTAATAATTCTGAAACAATTTTAAAAAGGATACCAGTGAAATTATCATAGAGCTGGGCCACAACCCTGTAATCCCAGCACTGCGGAGGGAGGCTGAGGTAGGAGGATCGCCATGAGTTCAGTGCCAGCCTGAACACATAGTGAGACCCTGTCCCAGAACAAAAAGCCAGCAGATACAAACAGATCTCCCCAGAACAGGTATTATATTCAAACACGAAGCAAATCAGATTAAACACACAAATAAGCCAGCTACCAAACAACCAAACAATGGAAAGTGGAGTCCATGCCGTCCCAGCTGAGAATCCACAAGCGCCAAGCAGTAAAAGTGGACGAGCCTGGAAGACCCAGCGGCTGGGGAACCGGAGGAAAGCGGGCCCCGCCCCGCCCCGGCCCGGCCCGGGCCCGCCCCGCCCCGCCCCGCCCCGCCCCCGGCCCCGCCCCCCCCTCGCCTGCGCCCCCTGGCGGCCGCACTCACTGAGCTTCTTGACGTTGGGCAGCAGCCGGCTCCACGTGTCCAGGTACTCCGCGCGGAAGCCATCCATGGAGAACAAGATCACGGGTGGCGGCTCAAACCTGCGGACACAGCAGCGCCTCGCCACCGCTTCCGTCCTCGGACCGCGGTGTGCACCGTGGGCCCCGGGAAACACTCAGACCCCGAGGGCGCGGAGGCCGCCAGCTCCTGAGGGCCATTCGGATTTGGGATTTGGAAACCCTCTCTGTGAGGTCTTCTAATTCTAAACGTCTGAGTGTTTTAACTTAGCATCGCGACATCTAAAGAAACTAATATATATGTACACTTCAGCATTGCAACTGCTTTGTAAATCAATAGTTAAGGTTAGTTTTTGTGTTATAGCCAAAGATTGTCTTTTTTAAATTTTAGTATTAGCTGAGTGTGTGGCACAGACCTGCCCTCCCAGCACCCAGGAGGCAGAGGCAAAAAGATTGCTGCGAGATCTAGGCCATTCTGGCTACACAGGGAGTTTAATGCCAACCTGAACTACATATGAGATGGAATTCAGAAAGCAGTTTATGGATGTATTATTCTAAAGTTCTGTATTTTTTACTGAGTCTTCCAATATCCAAAGAATACTGATATATACCTCAAAGCATTTTAATTTCTTACATTTTTCTAAGGCAAAAATGATCAAAGGTAACTTTGGGGTTATAGCCAGAAACTGTCTTTTTTAGATTTAGTACTCTTGAGTCGGGAATGGTGGTGCAAGTCCTGTAATCCCAGCACTTGGGAGGCTGAGGCAGGAGGCTCACTGCGAGTTTGAGGCCAGCTTAGGCTACCAAGTGAGCTCAAGGCCAGCCTCAAACTGCGTAAAGAGACCCTGTCTCAAAAAGATAAAAAGGAATAAATGCAGTTAGTATTCCCTTGACTTTGAGTTTCACCTGTAGTATTCACATCTGTGTATACACACATGCCCAAGCCACAGACCTATACTTGATACTATCTGAACCCTGCCTTGTAACCAACCACCAAGGACAGCAGACCTCGACAGCCCTAAAAGCTCCTTGGGGTCCCCTCCAGTCCTCAACCTTGCCACCCACAACCTCTGCCAGAATGAGCAATGTCTGCACTTCCAGTAGCCTCGATTAGTTTTGCCTGGATTTGTACTGATATAAACATGTAAATTATATGCAAATTACACATGCAAATTGCACACCATTGAAGCCCAAGGAGGCCTTTGCTGTGTCAGGCACCTTTGGCTTGAATTACACAGGAGACAGGGCCCTCTCCCTCACGCACTCACAGACCGTGTCCTCGGTGTCCTAGAAATGCTGGTGGCAAACGAGCCACAGCTCACGCTTTCTACTCTTGATGGAAATCTGGATTTTTTCCAACTTGAGGCCACTCTGAGTAGCAGCTGTGTACAAGGTTACATTTAAATTCCAAACAGAACATACAAAGAGTATGCAAAAGAAATCATTTCCAACGCAGTGCCGCGTAGTTGCATTGTCTAAATTCTTGAAAGAAAACATTTTTCCAAGAAATTTGGTTAGGGTGAGGCTGTTGATATTCTGATAAATTACTCAAATTACTCAAATGTGATTAAAAGATTAAGGGAGTGAGTGCTACCCACCTGATAAGATAAGATATAAGAGACAGAAAAAGGCTTGGTGGGGGTTGTTCGTCTTTCACTAGTTGCTTATTGCTGCTGCTGCTTGTCTTCTGCTCTTCAGTGCCCTCCGCCACACCACCCTGCCCTGGAGCCAGCCAACTTGGGACTGAACCTCCACACACTGTGAGCCAAACAAACCTTCCCTTCCATAACTTGTGGGTGTGGAGTATTTTGTCTCAGCAACAAGAAAGATGACTAAGACACTGTTTTAGCAGTGGGAATAAGGTGGAAGGGACATGGAATCCACGTTTGAATCAGGGAACCACAGCGTGCCAAAGCCCACTGTGATGCCTGCAGTAATACTCAGAGTCAAGGAAATACAGGGTCAGGCCGGAAAAGCGTGACTCAGCAGAGTGAAGAAAAATTCTGCAACAGGAGCCTGCGGTGGTAGGAATTAGAGCAGCAGTTGCTTTGAGGAGTAGGGAGTGGGCAGAGAATGAGGGAGCCTGGTGGGGTGGTGTAAATATTCTGTCAATAGGCTGCAAGTCTATGAATTTCCACTTCTCACTATGCCACAGACATGAGATCTGAGCAGTGCAGTGTGTATGGATTATATCTCAATCAAAACATGACAAGGGATGGTGTGAAATGACTTATGTAGGAAATTCATCATAAAATTGAAGATTCCTAGACTGGGTGTGGTGGTGCACACCTGTAGTCCTAGCACTTGGGAGGCTGAGGCAAGAGGACTGCCTTGAGCTCAAGGCCAATCTGGACTTTGTAGGGAGACCCTGTCTCAAACAGACAAAAAAAACCGGGCATGGTAGCCCATGCCTGTAATCCCAGCACTCGGGAGGCTGAGGCAGGAGGATCCTTGCAAGTTCCAGACCAGCCTTGGCTACCGAGTGAGCTCAAGGCCAGCCTGAACTGCATAGTGAGAGCTTGTCTCAAAAAGACAAATAAATAAATAAAAAGGCCTGGGGCAATTACTTATTTTTTCATGAAGCCATTAGCATAATTCTCATTAAAAATTTTATAATTATAAATATGCCATCATAATATCATTGCAGCTTAAAGACAAGGCCAACTATTTATAGAATGAGATCTACTAATCTAATACTATTCATGTCTCAGTGTGTAGCTCCCAGCAATCCTCCTGCCTCAGCCTGCAGGGCTGGATGACCAGCATGGCTGCCGAACCCCACATCTCTTTCTTAATGGCCTCCCTGCTCTCCAAGAGCTCCTCCTTGCCCTTCAGAGCACATTTTGCACTCTGCTATCATGAAGACCCATGTAGTTGAAACATCCTTAATTATGTCGTTGGTCTACATTCCTAAAGATTTACTTTCCTGCTCACGGAAGTCACAGTTCCCTTCCAGTGACCCCTATCAATTTAGCCTCCTATGGTCACAACAGGTGACTGATATTTCCTGCAAACCACGGTGCAGTGTTTGCTTCTTTGGGGAATTAAAATGCTATCTTGTGTTTTGTTTTTTTTTCGATTGTTAGTAACGCTGGACACTGCATCATGATGCTTTTCCTGCCTATCATGAGAGTTAAATAAAGGTACTAAGGGTATCAAAAACTGGCATCCCAAATCTCATATTTTGTGTTATCATCAGCAAATAAATATAGGAAGCGAAAAGACCAACTCATTCTCCACGTGCCCCCTACCACCCCACCAGGGGTGTCACACCTAGACTACTTGGGCATATCTGTCTGTCTTAGGGTCCGGGCTCCTTTTCACCCTGTGATGAGTGAAATATGGCAGCTCCTGCAGGAAGCAGGAGGGTCTGGATTTTGAGGCCAGCTGAGATTACAGAGGAAGACTCTGTCTAAAAACAGTAAGCAAAAAAAATACAGCTTAGCTGTGCAGAAAGAGGGCTGCGGGCAATGTAACATCTCCAGGAACTGTTCCCAGTGAACACTGCCAACACTGGGCAGAATCATGATACACACAGCACACAGGGCTTTAGAGTGTGAGAGAGGCCTGACTCCACACGGACTGAGGGGAGACAGCCAGTGTGCCCCACCTCACCCCACACCCCTTCATCACCAGCTTCCTCCTGTCTGGTCTTACCCTGATTCAAAGTGCTATCATATTTAGATCTAGATGTCCTCCTAAAGCCTCATGCAGTCGTTGACAGCACACCTCAGGGCCGTGACTGGTTATGGGTGCCTATGGTGGATTTGATCTCAGGAGAGGGGGCCTGGCTGGAAGAGTGTGCGCCCCTGGATACTCCGCTTCCTGCCCTCCATGCCCTGAGCAGCTTTGCCTCCACCAGGCCCCTGTGCTGCGCTGTCCTGCAAAGGAGCAGCCTCACAATGGAAAGAAAGATGAGCCAATGTAAACCTCTCCTTCCTTAAACTGTGGGCCCTGGGAAGTTTGTCCAAACAGCTGCCAAAGTCAATTTGAAGTCTTGCCAATGGTCATCTGCACAGTGTCACAGGCTCCGACTGTCACGGGTGGAGGGGGTGGCAACAGCCACAGAGACCTCACAGCCCAAGCTGCTTCTGGTCTCAGCTGTCGGACAGTGTGACCTGGGCAGGCTTCGTGCTTCCTTTTCATGAGCTGCGTTTCACAGCCAGTGCACAGCGACAATGGGGCCGAGTTCAGAGGGCTATTACACAGCAGAACACGCCAGACAGCTATGGTGTAAAGATCATAGTGGTTCACAGTAAGTGGTTCACACTAATCCTCTTTGCGCGGCAGGGAATTGAACTCAGGACTTTGCCCAGGCTCGGTCTACACTCCTCCACTGAGCTGACCGCCAGTCTACCTGGGTCATCTCTCTGCTGCTGTCAGAGATGAATTGAGTGTAACCTGAGTGCGGCCCTGAGAAAAGGCCGTCTAAACCCATGGGTTTGGTTTAAAGGCCAGGTTTTATCGAACAAAATGAGTGACTGAAGGAAAATCCTCACAGGAAAAAATATGAATGGTTTCGTGAACACCTGCTCTGTGCCACACCTAGGAACTAAAATGAGCCAGTTCCCCAGGCGAAGTTCAGAGCAAGGACCTATATGAGACCTCGTGGGCAAAACCAGGCCTCCAATCACACACAGCTGTTTCAGTCAGTGTAGAGCGGGCCGCTGGGTGTGAGTGCTGGGGAACAGAGACCACGAGGGTCGGTGGCACCCACTGTAATCCCAGCACTCAGGAGGCCAGGCAGTGGGATTGCCTTGAGCTCCAGGCCAGCCTGGGTACAGAGTGGGATCCTGTCTCTAAAAACACTAGAACCAGCCTGGCGTGGTGGTGCACACCCATCATCCTAACACTCAGGAGGCTGAGGCAGGAAAATCGCAGCCAGTTCAAGGCCAGCCTGGGCTACAAAGTGAGTTCAAGGCTTGTCAGAAGTACATAGTGAAACCTTGTCCCACAAAGACCAAAACAAACAAACAAACAAAAAATACAATGATAAAGCAAACAAAAGTGTGTTCACTTTGAGTCGAAGAGGACTCTAATTTAGAGCTAACTCCTCTACATGAAGAATCAGAGCGCAGAGGGAACCCCAGCCCCAACCTCCTCCCCACAATAGTGGAAGCAGCATGCGTGGGCACCCCATGCTCACCCTTCAGGACACTGTGGCTCCTGGCTCGAGTTGCATTCTGCTTTCACCCAGGGGGTTCTTCCTGCAAGCAGAACACAGTCTTTAGAATGCCTGCCCCGCACAGCAGAGCAAGGGGTTCGGGCCTGCGCGCCTCCCGAAGGGCTAATTCTTCCGACATGTCACCCCTGGCGATCACAGGACTGCCAATGACTTGCAAGCTTGACCTGCTGAGTACCGGGAAGCCAAGAAAAACCGGTCCCTTGAGCTTCCGGAATGACAGTGTTTTCCCGAGTGCTAAGCTAACCGGGTTTAATAAACACAGATACACAGTGAGTAATCCCAGTGCCCAGGAGACTGAATCAGGAAGATCACAAATTCCAGCTCAGCCCAGGCAACTCAGCCACTTAGCAAGACCCTGTCTCCAAAGAGAAAATTTAAATAGGGTTGGGAGCTCTGGGTTCCATTCTCAGTACTGCAAAATAAATACACAAATAGAAGTAGGTACACAACCGAGGAAGAATTGAAAGCATAGAAAAGAGAAATAGTGGTAACCAGTGGGGAAATTTTAACAAATGCTTAAAATCTTAACAAAAATGTAACGCTTCACGGGTGTTTCTCTTTGCAGTACGTTCTAGCTAAATAATGAAGGAGAGTTGACAGAAGGTGACAGTTATGCACTGTTCTGCCCCTAATGGATCTAGGAGTGATTACCACTGACAGACTCCCTCAAAGGGGTAAGTAGACAGGATGCTCTATGGAAGTAACTTGAACATATACATGAATAAATAACATCAGAATCTCAACAGTCATCAGGTTCTAACTACAAATTTTCATGAAATACATGGAACGAAGCATTTATTAAATCATGAAGGATGCAGTTAGCAAAACCCAGCCAGAAAAACTCCATAGGACAAATGACCCCATTTCTCTAGTAATAAACACAAGAAAGGTGATACAGAGGAATGAAACTCCCGACCTACTCTATGTCCAGAACAAATTCGTGTTCTCTAAAATCAAAGAATGAATTTTAGCAACCAAGAAGGATAAGAGCAGAATATATTTATTAAGAGAAAGAAAGCTTCTGTCTGAAAGACAGAAGGGGTCCCAAGTGGGTTATCAAGGATGCTGTATTTTCTAGGAATTTTCATAGAGTAAAACCATGAAGTGAGGTGGATTTAAAGGGGGAAAAACTGGGAACTCGAACCTAGATGGGCATGAGGTGGAATAAACTATAGTCAACCAGTGAGTTTAATTGTTCAGGTAGAATTGGCCAAATCAGGGACAAATGGGGAAGCCAGTTGTGTAGCAAGAGACAACATTCTGGCTGGGGGTTTAGCTCAGCGGCATAAGCGCCTGCCTTGCAAGCAGGCAGTCGTGAGTTTGATCCCGAGTACCGATAAAAAACGAAAAGACCAAAAAAAAAAAAAAAAAAAGAGAGAGAGAGAGACAGCATTCTTTATGAATCAGTGACTCCTCCTATAGGGGTTGGGATGATAACTCCTGGCTTCCCAAAGTGATCCATAATTAATCCCTAAGGACTATACCTAAGGGAGTGGTTGCATTTGTTTTGCCTTCTGTCCTGAGATCTGGCCCACAGCAAGAGGGGTGCATCTCCAAGGTCCCCAGACATCTGGTCCTCGGTGCCAGCTTCTTCAAGGCCCCACCCTGTCTGACTGCCTAGCATATTTCTAACTAGCTCAGCCGCCTGTGACAAAGGGGGAAAGGGAGCACATATATTCAAGACTTAAATATATTGGCCACTTACAATAAATCCCATGTATTTGGGTCCTGTTCTGTTTTTGTTTGTTTTTTGACCCAGGGCCTTGCTGTGTAGTTCAGGCAGGTTTTTGAACTCACTATGTAGTTCAGGCTGGCCTGGACTCATTGCTTTACCCAAACTGGCCTTGGAACTCTTGGTGATCCTCCTTTGCCAACCACACACCCGCTAGGATTATAGATGTGTGCCAGAGATAGAAAAACACACCCTAGAACACTCCACCCCAAAGGCTCAATTCTGAGCCCCACCTATCAGATTAGCTGCGCAAAGGAAAGCCTCCAGGAATACAAACACTAACTGCTTAGGCAGGGTATGGTGGCTCATGCCTGTAATTCCAAGTGCCAGCACTTGGAAGGTTGAGACAGGAGAGTTGGAGACCAGCTTTGGGATACACAGCGATACACGCTCTATCTCAAAAATACATAAATAATAAAATACACTGAAATGATTAAAGTAAGTCTATTGTGTTGAGTGATGCAGTTAAATTTCAACACTAGCTATAAAAATTACTTTTTTCTGTTAAATTCAAGCAATCTTGTGCAATAAACTCAGTGGAAAATCTACAAAATGAGCTTAATGCCAAGTATTAGTTTTGCTACAAGAATTCAAAAATTACAAAGTAGGAACAGAAGGGAGACTGAAGAGGCCAAGCAGCAAATTAAACCTAGTCTTACTTCTGTGAACTCACAGCTCTTTTTAATGACAATATTCAATATTAAGTAACATATACTTATTATTTTAGAAAGGGAAGAAGGAGGAAAAAAGATAAAACTGAGAAAAGGACAAAATGGAAACAAAGCTTTGTAAATAAGGAAGGGAAGAGGGGTTGGAAGGAGGGGAGGGGAATCGGGAAGAAAAAGCAATCAAGTTATATCATGCACAAGTACAAATTCCCTCTGATGAATGTGATCCTTATATACATAGCTAAATTGTACCAATAAACAATAAAAAAAATAAGAAATTGCTGCCTCAGGCTATTTCTTGTCCTGATGTTACAGGCAGCTGAGTTAGCTAGAAATATTATAGGCCATCAGAGAGGGCTGGGACCTAGAAGGAGCCAGTGCAGAAGACCACATAACTTGCAACCTTGGCAGAGACAGACACCTCCGCTGTGGGCCAGAATCTCAAGGCAAAAGGCAGAACAAATGCAACCACATCTAAGTATAAACCTTAGGGATTGATATCCTAAACAGGTATGGATCACCTTCAGGAGGCCAGGAGTCCCCATCCCAACCCCTACAGGAAGAGTCACTGCTCCATAAGAATGTCCGCTTACTATGTGACTTGCTTCCCCATTTGTCCCTGCATTGGTTAATTTTACCTGAACAATTAATTTTTTTGGTTGACCATAGTTCTGTCCGACCTCAGGTCCATCCGCCTAGCGAGTTCCCATGTTTTCCTCATCTTGGACCCAACCATCTCACCTCCTGGTTTGCTCTACAAAAGTCCCTAAAAAAGACATAGTCTTTGGCAACCCAGTCGGGACCCCTTCTGTCTCTCTCCCAGACAGAAGCTTTCTTTATCTCAATAAATATATTTAGCTCAATGGTATAGGTGCCTGCCTGGCAAGCATGAGGTCATGAGTTCAATCCCGGTACCAAAACATATATATTGCTCTTAATCTTTGTGGTTCCTAAAATTCATTCTTCAATTTTAGAGAACACAAACTCGTACTGAACATCTAGTAGACTGGGATTTTCATTCCCCTATGTATTTGGAGGTCTTCCACCGAGATCATCAGATGGAAGTAAGAGTTTGCTTTTTCTTCATAGACTTTGGACTGTGACTCATTTGGGTAACAAATGTTTATGCTTCAAATTTTGCTTCAGCTTTGCCCACTGCTTGTGATTTGTTTTTGTCCATGTTTTATAATTGCTCTGTCTCTTATTTAGTTTTGTTAAATAACTGATAAATCTAAGTTAAAACATGGGAAAGTCACAAAGTTATATTTCTTTAATAGGACATCTTTATTTTTATTTTATTCTCATATATCTTACATTTCAATTAGTTGCTACAAGAAGCTGGGGATTTCGCTCAGCAGTATAAGCGCCTGCCTGGCAAGCACAAGGTCATGAGTTCAATCCTTGGTACCACACACACACACAAAAGAATTAGTTGCTACATTTACTGGTATTTCTTGCCTGACTTTATTTAGACAATTGCACTACAGAGAGTAACATTAGAATGCCCCTGGTAGATTCAATATAAACTTTTATAAAATGAGTCTTCTTAAATAAAATCTAGCTCAGACTTAGAAATATGCATGTGTATAATAAAACCAAGACTACTTCCACCACTTAAAAAGCTCTAGGATGGTGGCTGGCATCTAAGACTTGAAGGACAGGTTTCACTAGGACAGACTGCCTCTGATTCTCCTCTACACTCTAGAGGAAATGTCAAGCTTATTCTGCTTCAGTTTCCTTTCGTTGGCCTTACTTCTAATCTTTTCTCCCACTTCGTACTCTCCTTTTTAGAGGCATGTGAAATTAGAAACAAAAGAATTCTGGACTATTGGAACCTTTTCTGCCTAAGATAAGCTCATAGAAAATAAGGGTTTGCTAACACTGAAGACAGGGAAATCATCTTAGATGATAGACCCATACTCCTCTCTGTGTCAAATGAGACATCTGAATTTTGCCCATCAGAAGAACACACAGAAAAGCCATGTCCCAGCTTAGTGTTCTAGGTGAGGAAGAAAGAACTGACTTCTGGGTGAAACCAGAGGGCGCTATTCCCAAAAGCAGCACACTTACAGGACCAAAACACTTTTAGACTAAGGAGGCTCTCCAAACTTTCAAGCTGTGGACTGACTGTAAAGAGCGGTAGGTAATGATCTTGCTCAGGCTTTTAACTATCTTTTATAGAACTTTGACAAACAGTGGTTACTCTGCCAGCTAATTAACTGCTCTTACAGCAGCTGCCACCCTTAAATGCAGAGGACAGATTCCCTAGCATCTGTTTCGTGACTCCCCATTGAAGCCAGTGGCCAGTGGAGTCAATGGAATGTTGATCAGACAGACAGCTGGATTCCTTTCTGGAGACTGACCTCTGGTTATCTGAGCCGATAGAAACAGAGAACTGAGGGTTGCTGGCCAAAGCAACTCTGCAGGGCACCCAAGAAGGTTCCTCACTGGACACTGGCTTATGACCACTGAAAATCTCTACTTATCTTTCATATTTATTTTTCTCTTAGTAGACTAGAAACTCTCTCAAGCTTTTCAGGGGATTTTACAATCATTTAGACCCCCTCCCTTCAGACATTAGACTCAGGCCAGCCTCCAACAATTGTTTACATTTCCAGGCAG